GTTTTATTCTGGTTGGTGGTTGGAATCATCTTGAAACATATGAGTTCGTCAATAGGAAGGATTATCCCACATATTATGGAAAATAAAAAATGTTACAAACCACCAACCAGTATCAAATGGGGAATCCCCTCGTCATGAAACAGAAAAACATAAAAAAAAATGTTGGTTATTTTGATATGACACACATGTGTTTCTGTCTAACCATCATTGGAATGTTTATATATATATATATTGCTTGTCAGTTTATTTGAACAAATATTTGACGCGTATTGTTGCTATTGTTTCAAACCAAAAACATATAGTGTTGTGTGTTTAGTACTTTGAAACGTTGAAACCATAGTTGGGATGTTGATTGTTGGTTATGCCTCATTATAGTTGATTAGTCATGTCAAACACGGATACGAATCCCATGAACGAATCCCATGAACAATAAACCATGCCATACACTTACATCAACTACATCAACTATAAGTGGCCATTTTTGTTGGTAAAACCCACATTTGTTTCACATTGCCATAACCATCCAGTGACGGCCCGGCCCGTGAACTGCTACCCACCACGCCCCTTTGCACCCGAAGGTGAAGACGGCCGGCACCAGGCCGGCGACGGCACCGAAGGCGCCACCCGCCAGGGAACCTGGCGCGACTGATCATCCAGGTGGATTTCATGGGTCTTCGTGGGAGTATTACCTTTTAATGGTTAAACATGGTGAAAAAAACCAGGTTGATCTACAAGGTGGCTCGTCCCAGTTATATTTGTGGTTTACTGGTGCTAAACGCAGGGAATTTTCGGGAATGATCCATTTCATCACTAGTAATAATCATCCCAGCAACCCCCAGCAACCCATCCATTCCCTACTAAACACCAGTAAGTTAAACACGGTGAAAAAAACACTACCACTAGTTGATGATGTGATGATAACGGGACACCAGTTTCCTGTTATTAGGAATTAGTTACTAGTTTTAGAACTTATCATTAACACATAACAGAAAAATGACAGATTTTGATCATTATAAACAAATTTTGTCTCACACGATTACTTGTTTTAATAACTAGTAACCAGCATATTTGTGATCATCATATTTTTTGTTGGTGCCTGGTTTTTAGCAAATGGGAGCCAAACAATTTCTGCGGTATTGGAATGTAGTAGATGCCCCGGCACTCGTGGATTTGCAAGTTCCACAATGTTGGCGCGTACATGTAAAACACATATAAGGGAGAGCGGGAGTGAGAGAAAAAACAATGTTAAAAAATGACAGTACTTCTGGACATTTTGCAATAATTTCCTGAAACCAAAACACAAAAAATGAACATAGGTCGAAATCAGAAATACCAAAATAGTATGTTTGACCGGGGTGAACATCCATAACTATAAACTATTTTGGTGGGTGGACATAGGAATAGGAACACCATGGTTTTGAGCTTTTGCCAAATAGCGAATTTGTTTATATTGTGAAACATATCAACTATAAATCCAACCGCTGGATACCGTGAGCCTGGTGATAAACCTGAACCTATATCATAAAACAAGTATAGTAATACCAAACAAAAAAAATCGTCATTTGTCACTATTATTGTTTTAGTGGGAAATTACTTTCCTATATATATATATTCTTAAAACTCCTGAACAAGTGTGTTGGATCCAATCTTTTGCAGGCCTGAAATCGCACCAGTCGTGCTACCCACAGCAGCACCTGCGAGTCTCCCGGTTGAAAGTCATTGCCCCCGAAAAAGGGATGGGGTGATTGTATGCATGTATATATATATATATATATATATCTATCTATCTCTCTCCATAATATAAATCTGTATATTATCTATCTGATCCATCCACCTATCTACCTATCTACCTATCTACCTAGCTACCTATCTACCCACCTATCTACCTATCTACCCACCTATCTACCCACCTATCTACCTATCTACCTACCTATTTACCTGCCTATTTAGGCCTATTTACCTACCTTTCTACCTACCTACCTACCTAGCTATCTATCTATCGATCTACCTATCTATCTATCTAACTATCCATCAGTCTCTCTATCTATCCTCCATGCATCGATCAATCGATCAATCGATCAATCAATCAATCAATATCATTATCAATATCAAAATCAAAATCAATATCAATCAATCAATGAATCAATCAATCGATCAATCAATCAATATCAATCAATCAATCAATCAATCGATCAATCAATCAATCAATATCAAGCAATATCAATCAATCAATCAATCGATCGATCAATCAATCAATCAATCAATCAGTATGTCTATCTATCTATCTATCAATCAATCAATCAATATTTCTATCTATCAATCAATCAATCAATCATTCAATCATCTATCTATCTATCAATGATCTATCTATCTATCTATCTATCTATCTATCTATCTATCTATCTAATCCTATCTAATCTATCTATCTATCTATCTAATCTATCTAATCTATCTAATCTATCTAACTATCTAATCTATCTAATCTATCTAATCTATCTAATCTATCTAATCTATCTAATCTATCTAATCTATCTAATCTATCTAATCTATCTAATCTATCTAATCTATCTAATCTATCTAATCTATCTAATCTATCTAATCTATCTAATCTATCTAATCTATCTAATCTATCTAATCTATCTAATCTATCTAATCTATCTAATCTATCTAATCTATCTATCTATCTATCTATCTAATCTATCTAATCTATCTAATCTATCTAATCTATCTATAACTATCTAATCTATCTAATCCTATCAATTCTATCAAAACTATCTCATCGTCTGTCTAATCTATCTAATCTTTCAAATCTATCTAATCTATCTATCTATCCATCCATCCGTCCGTCCATCCATCCATCCAATCTATCTACTTAGTATTTATGTATTTTATATCTATAACCCAACTAATTGTTTTCTATCTGTATATATATAATAATTAATCGATGCAATTGCATTAAACTATACAAACATACTTAAGACCTGAGTAAAATTGTGCGGGACCATCAAAAGCACGTGTTTGATTTGTATCTTGGGCTTATGTTAATATTGACTCCATCGCCAAAACTCAATTGAAATGTCAAGCAGAGCAGGGAAAGCAAAAAGTCCTGAACTTATAATCAATCCTCGGGTCGAACATGGAGTGTCAAATATGGCCATTGCTCAAAGCCATCCAAAATTTTAAGGTTCTATGTCACGTGAATATATGAATATAAAATCACCAATTTTTGCTGGATAACATCCTCGAAATGCTTGTTGCTTAACCCCGGTGAATATTTGGGCCAACGATCCCCCTACACTCAGCCCTTTGCGAACCCCAGAAACCCCAGACCCTTCTGTCATCCGCAGCACCGTTCAACAGCCCTTCGGCAACTTGCTGCCACGATCGACGCAACAAAGATGCCCATCGGCCACTTGCGAGAGCAGGTGGTCCAAAATAGAGCTACCCTGCCCCCGGTCCCGACCTGCGAGCAGGATCGCTGAGCCGTCTTTATGCTCCACAACCTTGCACGCCTGAAACAAACAGCTGGATCTGCCCGCAAGCTTGTTGAACACTGCCTGGAAACATGTGTCCTTGAGGACGCGTTGCAGTTGAAGACCAAGCAGGAAGGGACCTCCCGCACGATAGCAGCATCCTCCTCAAAATCTCAACCCCGCCCTCTATCGTCTGAGGGTTCCTGTGAACCTAAAAGATGCGTTGAGGATCCCAAACTATGATGTAACGATTACTGTTGACCTTCGTTGCCTTGGGCAAAGGTGCCTTTGCATAATCTTAGATACGCCGCAAAAAGCTAGAAAGGTCGGATGTCCCTATCAAAATGGCAAACAAATCAACCAGCGAACTATGAAACATTTTCACACCAAGCTACCCTAGACCCTAGCTAGCTGGTGGATTGGATTAGTTTGGATCTCTATAGCAACACCCAAAAGATATATAGAACATTTTTGTTTTTATCATGTCCAATAGCAGTGACTAGAACTCAGCTCACCCTTCACATTGATTGTTGATTGTTTACACCCGACATTGGTTAGCTCAACATTATCGCCACTATTGCCAAAATGTTGATTGTTCCCATGCCAATATGATTAGCAGTTGGCTTGCCCAGCCGTTACATCCTTACCACCGCCTAACATCCCACATTTGATTGGTGATCTTCAATTGAAGATGCTCTCTCACTATTTGTCCGACGGTATTCTCCCAAGTTATTCTCCCAATATCTGATCCCACTATCTTCGCCCACTGTATCTCACTATATTCTTCAAATGAGCAGTGTTCAAGCCATCCCTTTACTGGTTGGCTGATAGGATTTCCCAATGGAATAATCGATAGTACAAATCATCAACAATCATCAACAATCATCAACACCGCTAGATCTCGCCACTGCTCATTTGTGAATTTTCTCTCAGCCACTTCCCCCCACATGGAAATGCAGTTCCAGTTCTAAGTGGATATAGGTTTTACAACCATGCTGAAAAACCTATACCCATTAGTTTCACCAATGGCCTGCACCCCCAGTAGGTGAATGCCAGTTTGATGCTTGTACCCTGTTGACTAACATAGCTACTGAACATGGCCATATAAATGGTTGATTTACCCATAAACAACGGTGATTTTCCATAGTTATGTTAGTTTACCAGAGGGTAACTTAGAAACGTGGACATCTAAACCCAGATAGGCATTGTCTAAAACCCCCTATGAAAATGGAGTGGTGACACTTCCCCAACCACTTCTGCCACCAGCTGTTCCTTTCTTGGGGGTGCAGTTCAAATGAACTAAGTGGATATATAACCATAATTATAGGTGCACCATATCCCAACTTATAAGCTTTCCAGCCATATAGTCATTTTAACAAATATATCTATCACCATCTATCACTGTTCCGTTTCCATGTGTTTCGCGTTTTTCAATCATCTAAAAAATCTTAATAGCACGAAATTCCCATGTATATATATATATATATACATATATTCCCATATATTCCCATATGATATTTCCCATATTCACCAGATATTTCCCATATATTCACCGTGAGTATACCCCTTATCCCCTAGATTTTCACCTTTCCCAGCTGCGCCTGCCGCCCCGGACAGCAACTTCCCGCGCATCGCCAGGTGCGGAGCCTCCGCCACCAAGGCGCTGGACTCGGCGCGGAAGCCCTTGGCGTCCTGGCCCCGGGACGTGGGGGCCCAATGGAAATGATGTAAAAATAACCATACTGATAGGGGTTTGATCATCCAAAAATAGGGCTTTGATCTCATCCTTGAAATGGGATAATTAGGAGAATCCATCCGAAAATGGGGCTTGAAAATGGGGGCTTAACCCAGCAGAAACTCGCAAACATGTGGATTTCCATCATATTTCATCATGAAAAATTGGATAAACATTTGTGACTTAACCTACTCAAGACGTAACTGGACCAAAAGCAGCAAGACATATGGATTTGATGGATTTGATATGTTTTTAGGAAGTTTCCCCTTTTTTCTGATAAAAAACAAAGACTGAAGTAACCATCCAAGGTTGTCTCAGGGAAATTCTACCAGAAACCACGTTTTCTTCCATAAACTAAATTCGTGTCATAAGGTTCCCCTGTAAACTTGTCCCTACCGTAAAACAACTCTGTGAAAACTGAAACCATCCATGGAGCGGCATAGTCACCTACTTTCTTACCCCATGAATCCCACAAATGGATACAGGCATGGCCGCATGGGATATTGGTGATTAATGGTGAATGAATATATCTATCCAAATATAATTCACCATACATGGATGGTGTGGGCAAACAACACCACGTTTGCATGAGACGCGATCGTGGGGGAGCATAATTTCTCGGATAGGACCAACCAGCAACAGAAACATCGGGATTACCTTGAAAAACTACTCATTATTGTATTTACATGCCATTTGCAGGCCTATGCACCTCTTTGGTGCTGGTTAGAATGGCATTCGCTTGTGAAAAGGTGCCGATCTTACCATGTGGGTCCCAAAATTTTGGTACCGTAAACAAATCAATGGTCCAGAGCCAATTTTCACCTGTTCAAATGGCCAGAACTGGGGTAAACCCCGCCTTCTTGCACATACCCATGATTAGCACTATAGTCCCATATTGAGATAGTATAATACCATATAATACCAGCAAAATTCCATAGTAAATGCCATATTAATCATATTAATATCAGTCATATCCATCATAATCCGTGGATATTTTGACATGTTCATAGCATTAAATAGTCTCGATAATTCCATCCCATTGCATTTCATCCCAATCCCATTACCTGGACCCATGTTAAACCCCAAACTGATCGAATTGACATTTTTTCCTAATGTCTATGCGTTGTAAAAAACGATATCAATAGACATTGAACGAAAAACTTAGATTGACATTGTCATCTACTAATCTATTGTCACATCTCTTTTCTATTCGTGAACGCAAAAAGTATCCATAGACATTCACTATAATATAGTTTACAATATAGTTCCACTAAATCGATCACATTTCACTAATATATTGGATATTATATTTTGCATTCACTAATACATAGATATTCATTTTGCGATTCCTGTTTCCCAGTTCCATTCAGTGCTTTCACAAAATCGATCCACAAGGCACTGCTGACGGCCTCAACGCGCTCCTGGAGAAGATTGAGGCGATCCTCCAGAGCCTCGTTGGAGCGCTGAGTACGTTGCTCAATGAAAAACCATAAAGGGAGGATGAGGTCACCAAATTTTCATGGACAAAAATGTGTTTGAATTGGATTTTAATGGACATATCATGGAATAACTATACCCTGGAATAAACTCACATAGATGTGGAAAACCCCATGGTCCGTTTGGAAAATGATCTACAAATGGTGGGTTTCCCACACCTTTTTGGTACTTTTTGTATGTTTACAGGAGGGTAACTAGGCAGTTTATAATTTATAATAACTCTTCAGATAATAGATTAAATCCCGATTGAAATAGCGCACGGCGATCTTGCAAAGTGTCTTCCCAGACGGCAGTAGACAAGAACCAGCCATGCTCCAATCCGGGGGACACAAGGGCGCCCTGGGAACAATGTTCATAGCTTCGATCGTTTTCGCGAGGGGCTTTCAGTTTTTTGGGCATTTGGGGCTGGCCTTGAAGTGGGTGGCATTATTATTACTTTCATATTGGGCATAATAAACAAAATTCTGATAGCACAACAAAACCAATTTATGCAAGTTTCCTCTTTATTTGGTTGTTTTTAAGTTCGCAGCCCCATCTATGGACAAACTTATATTTTCAGATAGAGTCATTCATTCATATCGATCTCGGGATTATAGATCCATTTGTGTTTGGCAAACCCATCCCTCAAATCTCATGAACATCTATAAACCAGGGCTTTGTTGCATAAAGAAATGAGGAAAAACAAAATCCTTATCTGAACCGTTCTATAGGGTGTGTCTTTGCACTCCCAAAATATTAACCAATTTATCATTAAATCATAAGATCCCATTAACGGAAGAGATTATGCCTCTGGGGCGCCCGTTCCATCTACAAGATCCTTCAAGGTAGTCTGCTCATTCGCGGGGTCGAAATTTTGGGACTTCCCACCGAGGGGTCCATGTTGCTTCGCGAGCTCAGCCTCCCTCTCTGCCAGGAGCTGTGCCTGTTTGAGCAACTCGGCCTCCTTCAATTCAACGGCAGCTTCCTTGAACGACCGCCGTTGGGCAGCCGCCAACGCGGCCTGTTCTCTAGCCTGTGCATCCTTGAGCTCCTGACGCGCCCTGATCTCGCCCTTCTTTGCCCTTGGTGGTGCACCAGTAGAACCTTCCGTTGGCACGGAGACAGGCGTGCTCTCAGTTGTGGGTGGCTTGGTGGCAGTATCCTGTTTTGGTTCCGGCGCAACGGTTGCTGCCGAGACTCCCCGAGCGACCTCCTTCAGATGGGTTGGCTCCAAAGCCGATGCAGGCACAAACCGGGCTGACACAACAACAACAACATGAGCGGTTTGCGCGGGGAATTGCGGGGATTGATATGCCGAATAAGGCATCAGCCGCGGCCGGGAAGGAGTTGGCCAAGTTGGCGCTCAAGGAGTTGGAAACGGGGAACATCCCGGATCAAGCGCTGCGGAAGGCATCTAATTATCAACCGTTACTAGCCATCAAACAAGCCAGCAAACGATCCATTCATCTAATCACAGGAACTTCTCTATATAATCATTCACCAATATATCAACCATTTTACGAAATGGTTTCCCAGCTTACAATCCCCCTTCACCGGACATGAGGACCACGTGGCCTTCGACTCCCCCAGCGCCACGCAAAGGCTCATGAGACCCAGCATGACACCGGCACCTCAGTTGGGACATGTTGGGACAATGAGATGCTTCTGGGGTCAAAACATGTCAACCTCTAATGGTACCTAATGGATGGTACCCTAAGTTAATGCTGGTTAATGGATGGTGATTCCTCCAGGGCAGTAATAATAGTAATATGTTCATAGCTATAATCAAAGTGCAAAGTTCAATTCTGTCTGGTGATTTATTTCCCTTTTCACACACAAAAAATATGCGAAAGTCATCTCAACCACTCATCCGACTCATCCCAGGTATTGTTGAAAAAAAAATGTATAAGTGTTTGAAACCACCAACCGGAATCGATTTTAAGCATCAACAAGAGTGATAGAACGAAAATTCAACGCAGATTCATCGCCAACATGACACCAAAAGTCTCTAGAGGTAGTTCAAACTGCACTCATTGGTTCAAGGGTACAACTGTATGACTGGATCACAACTGTGGAATCAAAATCAAAATATGTGTATTGCTTGCTTTTTACCACGAGAAAAAAACACACCTGTTTTGAGCGCCAAACTGCGATGATCGGCACTGTCATTTGGATGGTTGGTAAGCCACAGCCCCGTGTTACATTATCCGCTTGAGGCTCTCTTCTGAGCTGATGAATCCATATGCTGGAATCTTCACCAACATGATTGGGCCATCATTGAGGCAAATATTGGTAAATGGTTGAGCATGCAGCATCGTTGGGTATGCTGCTTTCCGTCGGAAAATCAAACCCATCCAAGCTATTCGGTATTTCCGGGGAGACCAACTGTTGGGGGTTGACTAATGATCTAGAAAAACATCAGATGATTTGTGCTCTTAAAACAGTTTGTTGATTAACGATCTCTTAAAATTGCGCAGTTTACAAACGAGCCCGGGTGGAGAGATGGGTTAAGATCGCTTGGATGTGTGCCAGTTTTGTTGGTTAAAGCCTCAGTTTATCGAGTCCAGTTCCAAAACTCACCAGCCAATTGACCCAGAAAAATCAAGCAGACTTTGTCATAGATAATTCCCTATATCTTGTGGGATTAAAAAGCCGTCCATTATCCATATATATATATATGTACACACAATACATATCAATATACATCCATGTTCAACTAAATAAATATTGTCTATACATTATATATATACATATATCCTCCTACATTTCATAGTAAACCCCCTGCCCTTCATCAGTTGATCCAAGACGCTCATGATGCCGGTGCTGAAAAGCCAGCCGATCCAACTGCTCTCAGCGCGCAGAGGCACCTGGAGGGGGCATCACTTCATCAGCTATCAGTTGACCCACAATGGTCCCAAGAAATTGATTGAAATTTCCAGTGTTGAGATCATATATATGTTTACTGTAAGTATTTATTAAAACATTTAAAACCTACAATTGACTAGGGCAATAGTTCCTCTGACACAGCTGCTTTGAATCATTGAAATATGGCCTGGACTTGTGTGCCTGTAGACTAACAAGCTGGCACACTCAAGGGGCCGGAACAATGTTCAGAAACATCCAGTCCTAGTGACAATTCAAGAGTTGTTTGCGGTGTTTGATTTCCAAATGTGTTGCTTGGATACCCCAATGTCTTTCAGAAACAAACGAACAACCTTGTATCAAACATTTTGGCCCGAGGAATGTTTTTTGGTAATGTACAAATATATATATATATACATACATATACACTATACAATATATATATATATATGTATATGTCAAACCAATCTGTATAAGGCTTCCTTGGGGCACCAAACCGAAATCCCTGCGTGCCTCTTGCACCTCAGCCTCGACTGTGGGAGATGTGCAATTTGTACCTTAGGCGTGCTGGTGCTGGTGCTGTGCCCTTCTGTTGTGGCCCAAAATACAAGTTACAAGCCAGCTAGAACAACATTTATGGATATTTATGGAATGATACCCCCAATTAAAGAATGCTACATAATGATACCCATTTATTTATGAAATGATACCCATAAAAAAAACTGGTAAAGGCTGGTAAAGGGCTTTAGCAGGTTGGGCTCAAGGAACGGATCAATGGATTGATAGCTGTAGTTCCCTTTTGCCCACGGGAAGTAGTCAAAAAAACACCTGGGACATGGCTGCATGTATCAAAATTGATATAAGTAATTGCACATGTACCCACGCATATCCATATCCTCATATTGCAAAAAAATACCTGGAAAATGTTTGTAGTGTTTTTCTTGTTTACCCATCATAATTGGTTGTTATACCATTCAACCACCATGTTCAGTTTATGATCATCCGACATTATCTCCCTTATATACTCAGTACGCCCAACAATTTTAATGGTGAAATCCCTACAAGGTGGTGCCCCACAGTGATGTTTGATAGGTTCCAACCTTCATGACTACTAGTTCGATATATTCTACCATAAACATCTCAGAGCTGTTGGACATGTATCGCTATGGCAATGGATGGTTGATCCCCCATAGTTTGGGCCTTGCAGGCTTCGAAAGCTAAGTTGGGGTTCACATAACTAGGTGATACGACAGGCGAATTCTTGTGGTTTATAGTTGATCTAACGAAGTAGTATTCATGGTTATAAACCAACTTTATCAAACATCACTGCGGGGGCCCACCTTGTATCGATCGGTGGTTATTGTATCTATCCTTAGTTAACCAAGTTATGTATAGGATATTCATGGATATACCTGCGTTATATGTGGCTTACAACCCCCTTAGCCTTAGCAGCATGTAGGTTACGCATCCGAAAGTAGTCACTCAAACACTTGGATTTGCTCAAGTAGCCAAATATATATATAATATATATATAGTTCCCAACTATCGGGTTTTCCATTGGAAAAAATAAGCAGTATCCCATTATGTCCCCATATAATCCCAATATATCCCAATCATATTCCATTGTATATTCCCAAATATAGTAGGCGCAGATGACCCTGCGAAAGACACTAATATGATGACACCCAAGATGCTGCTTAAAACCGGCCTGATCCTGCTTCATGCCGTGGTAGACTCGCTTCAGCTGGTTGTACAAGAAGCGCAACATCTCCAAGCGGCGAGGGCCTTGCACCTCGAACTAAATTATCAACCACTCTCAGTGCAGGTCTAAAACACCGCGCCTCTCGAGCCCACGCGACCAGCTCCGCCATGGTACTGTGCACCGGAGGAAGCATCGTCCTGAAATCGACAGAGGTGACGTGGCAGGCTAACTGAAACTCCATGCATGTTTCAGCGCGCCTCAGCGGCGGCAGCGCCCGAGACTCCACGCGGTCGTCCATGGCGTTCTGAAGGCTTAGAAGAGCTCCAAAGCTGTGATCCGACAAAAAAAACGGCTGCGGCGACATTCGACTCGAACAATTATATTTACACAAAAAAATTCTTGAAGCGGTTGCAAACATGTACAAGCTGCCCGTCACTTGCGACCTCATAAAGACTTCCCGAAAGCCTATTTTTTTTCTGTCAGAGATGCAGCCACGCGCTGCGCGGGTCACAGCCTGTACTTGCTTCCCTCCTTGCTGTCCTCCTTGCATTTCTTCTTGCCCAAAAGCAACAAACTTTAACCTTGGAACTTCCCTGGCAAGGGGGACGCCTTTAACCCTAACCCTCCAATCCCGCTCCAGAAGCTGCATTTATCCGGTGTTTTTTGGCACGTGACATGGGATTTATGTATCAATTCCCCACCTGCCAGGTGAGGGTTGTTAGATTTTATCAGAGCTGGTGTCCTCCTCCTCCGCCTCCTCCTCCAGTTTCTCCTCGACCATGTCTGCATCAACTTCCACCTCCACTTCCGCCTTACCAACTCTTCGCCAAGCTCTTCACCAACTTCCAAGCTCAGTGCGCACTGCTGGACCTCAACCTGGGACCTTCCCAGCTCAGTGCGCACTGCTGGACCTCAACCTGGGACCTTCCCAGCTCAGTGCGCACCGCTGGACCTCAACCTGGGACCATCCCAGCTCAGTGCGCACCGCTGGACCTCAACCTGGGACCTGCGCACCGCTGGACCTCAACCTGGGACCTTCCCAGCTCAGTGCGCACCGCTGGACCTCAACGGCCAGATAAAATGCCATAAGGTATGCCACACTGACAGAGTTCGAGAAGTATGCCAGAATAAAGAAGATATGCCAGATAGATGCAGATGTAGCATAGATGCCAGAATAAATGTCAGATAGAATGCCAGAAGATATGCCAGATAAAGTGCCAGAATGTTTGCCAGATAGAATGCCAGAAGATTTGCCAGATAATATGCCACATAGGATGCCAGATGGAATGCCAGAAAATATGCCAGAACATATGCCAGAAAATATGCCAGGTAGAATGCCAGAAGATATGACAGATAAAATGCCATAAGATATGCCAGACAGAGTGCCGGAAGATATGCCAGAAGATATGCCAGGTAGAATGCCAGAAGCTATGCCAGATAGAATGCCAGAAGATATGTCAGATAGAATGCCAGAAGATATGCCAGATAGAACGCCAGATAGCATGTCAGATAGGATGCCAGAAGATATGCAGGATAGAACGTCAGATAGAATGTTAAATAAAATGCCAGAAGCTATGCTAGATAAAATGCCGGCTAGCAACGTCGCAGACCAAAAGAAAAACGCAATGGCTTGCTTGCAAAGGGAATGGCTGGTATCTATGTAATTTTCAACATGAAGATATGACAGAAGATATGCCAGGTAGAATGCCAGAAGATATGCCAGTAACAAAATGTATAAATGTCATGGTGGGGATCACTCGAAGTAAAGTAATTCTGCTATGGTTTTTTAAATTATATACACATGACATGGGAGTTATGCCCCGACCTAGCGGGCAGGTATTTTCCATTTTTTTTGACAGATGACATGGGAGTGTTTGATCAAATTTGACAAGAATCTTGGGATTTCCAGGAAAAAGTGGAATGAGATGGGAAGACGATTTTACCACAGGAGATGGGACGTCCAAGATGGGAAGTGGCAGGTAATAAGACGGGAAAACGAATTTACCACAGGTAGCGACGTAGCAAGGAAAATGTAGCTACATGGGAACTAACCATGCATGTGACAATGCCAGGCTGACACACTTTAACAAGCCCCTTGCCTCTTGGGGAAGCCATTCGGCGTAGGGCGCAGCACCCATTCTGCAGCTTCAAGCTGTCCCCATAACTTCACCATCGTCTTGTACGAATTGAGGCACATTCTCCCAGCTGCAGTGACGTCGCTATCGGATAGCTCCATTAGAGTTGATAAACATCATGGCCGATGGCTGCACGAACTCGTAAAAGCGGGCCGAATGGAATGGATTGTCCTCCGCAGTCGATAAGAGGCCCAAACCCTTCTTCGAATGTCAAAACAGCAGTTTTGGCTACTGCAGATAGGTCTTGGTAATTGCGGAAAAAGAACTTGTTTCTTTTAATGCCGTGTGTATGTTTGGGATCAAATTGATCCCTGCTGAGTGATCAGACCACAGAGTCTGGAGGCTGTTGGACCGCACCACAGGAGATGGGAAGACGCATATACGTCCATCTCGTATTATCTCGCCTTGTACCCTATACCCAGGATATTTAGTGGAATACATTTGGTAATGGATAAATATAATATAAATATATATATATATATTATATATATATATCCAATAAATATACATCCCAAATATATCTCGCCTTGTACCCTCTGGTAACCAAACCTGGCAATGGAACATCTTCAAAAAGCCAGGCCACATGCGCAGTTCTGCGCATCCGACACCTGCACCGGCTGCGCGGCAAGTGACGCCTGGAAAAGGCGAAAGCGTTCCTCGGCGTCGATGTCTGCGTGGCCAGGTTGCTGTAAAAATATGGGGAATCAACCATCAAAGATATGGGTAAAGTGGAAATATCTTGGGATATGCTAGGGATATAACTAGGAGAGGGCTAGCGGCTTCAATATGTTGTTTGATTATTGCTGTTATTTCTGCGGAATTTCCATGGTATTTGTTTGTTTCTGGTGAGGTATGACCTCAAAAATCCCATGGTTTAGAACATGATTTTCCACACAGTTGCAATTGGATATACAATGGCAAAAATTGGCTAATATCGTTGGTCCTCGAATACTTTCATGTATTATTCACGGCTGATTTTTTGTGATTGTTGAAGTGTTAAAGGGTGGATCATCAGACGTGTCAAAGGACTCCCACCTTAGCAGCTCCAAATTGTTAGGTGTATCATGGCCAGTCTTGCATCCCCGGCAAAAAGAATTAGCTGATCAGATCTGTTTAGCTTTATCCCCATTATCCCATTGTTAGCTGATATTGACGGGATATGTATATATATATATATGATATTTACCATTGGGTATTATAGGTTTTTAACATCTGATATTGCTGGATCCCATTGTTAGCAACGGGTAAGATATTACGATACCCATCCAAGGTTGACCCACTTCTTTGACAGGGACAATGCCTATATCCATTTTGCTACAGCTGGAAATGGGGTGACCAATGGATCCATATTATTTATGAGTTATTATATGTATATGTTTGACATTTCCAGCTTCAAACCAAACCAAACACCACATGGGTTTAAACCCATGTTCAGCCATCGGCCGAGAGCGCCGAACTCAGCGATCATGTATGTCTATATAGGTAGTACCCTACCACTGTGACATACCCTCCAACCAAACCAAGATTGATTGCTTGGGGTTACGCAAACAATACTTTGGTTGGGAGGGCCTCTTGCAAAACACACATCTGGTGGTAAAGGAACAGCGCTTAAATCGCTTCAGGGACCTTCCATGGTGTTTCATCATGCCCACATCCGTGGTGAGCTGGGGGGGTCTGCAGCAGGTTGCTGGGCTCCAGTCACTTCAAATCAGCAGGATTCGACATATTGTAAGCGGCCTCTGTTATGATTTGGACATGTGGATAAAATGAATGGGTAAAGTAATGCCAGTGATGATTAAGGCTGCCCGCTTATTCAGATTCATTGCGACTGGCCGGTTGATCATGATGAATAAGATATTTTACGCTGAATCATGATTTCCATATCACTGAATCATCGCCATCTGTAATCGCACGTATCCCACCTTGGCATTGCAGAGGGTGCAAATAGCTATAAGACTCACTACAAAGAGGGCTAACTCAAGATACCGCGTCAATGCAAAGCTCTGTCAGTTGCCCCACCAAAAAAGTGGGACATCAGATTAGTCCACAACTCCGTTGAACGGCGGATTCACCAAGGGGGGACCCAGCTTCAAGTGGCTCATCACCCATCAAGCCTTGCTGGGCGGTTGTGCCTATGGCTTTGCAACAGACTCAGTAGGAACGTGGCCAATCTTTCATACCTGGCAACGAAATAAGCTGGTACCTACTTCCATAGCAATTAGAGTATCATAATTACGTGGCAAACTATGATAGTTCCATGTATTGAACTACCCTTAACCATCAGCTTGTACGGTTGTATCAAGGGTAGTTCCTAAGTTCCTAAAAGAGATTAATACAGTTGTTAAATGTTGTTAATATTTTTGAAGGGATGTAATCCGTCAGCTAGAACCAAGTCCTCATGAGCAAAACTACCCAACTCACGCAAGTTCCCTCCCCACCCAATGAGCCCAACTACTCAAAAATCTTACGCCATGTCTCGTGCACTTCTGCTCTGGACATAACGTCTTCACAGGGCGTCTCACACCTGCGGCTGGAAAACGCAGAGATCTTCCGCTATTTGTCTGAACCCGAAGGCTTCGACTCACCCAAACTCAAGTAGTTTGACCGATTGCAGTTGCTTCAGCCTTAGGAAAAACATCATCATGCTAAGGAAAGGTAATAAGATGTAATAAGATAAGGAAGGGGGGTGAATTAAATGGATACCCTCTGGTAAACAAACATAGCTATTGAAAAATGGCCATTTATAGTTGATTTACCCATTAAAAAGGGCGATTTTGATTTTTCCATAGTTTTTTGTATGTTTACCAGAGGGCAAAACAGAACATCGAAGCAGATTTGGATGACACGCTACCCCTTTGATTTGACCCACAATGCATTGGAGAAGTGGTATATGGTATCTCCTACGAACACAAGTGCTGAAGGACGTGTTTCAGAGTGTTGGTGTGATTTGATTCCAGTACTGTTAATCCAGGACTCATAAAACACCAGATTACTGATATTCCAAGTGAAATACGGCGCGTAATTCATAACAATTCATCCCAAGTTTGGGCATACCGCCTCCATCAACAGAGTTGGTTCATGCAGGGGCATCCATCCACCTGGCCCGCTATCCCTGCCCCAAGTCACCCACTTCAAACCTGGATTATACCGTGAAATGTCCTGTGTGAACCTCTCGTGATGCGAAAAATATCCCGAAATTGTTCGGACCTGTCCCAACCCTAATTCTCGATGCAAGCCCATTTTCTTGCGCTTGGTTCAAACACATTTTGTCGGCTGTTTCAACCCAATGTTGTTTCGTGACATATGAGTATCGTCCAAAATCATTGACCTTGCAACCATAGAGGGTTTTTGAATATCCTGATGGCCCAATATATTGGTCCCAAGGAACAAATGTATCCAGTTTATCCTATAAAAAAGAAACATTGGAATATTCCCAATCATGGAGCTATCAGAATTGGACTGAGAACGTGATGATGATGTTTACATTTTTTCATTAAATCCTCTTGAAAATTCCAAGGATTCTAGGCCGCCCCGGTGTTTGGCCCGCCTCGCAGTCGCAAGACTTACGGTCTGCGGAGCCTGCAGGGCAAGGGGAAGAAACTGGGGACATGTCGTTGAGGATTTATGGTTTCTAATGGTTGAACAAAACAGTATACATAGTAGTTTATTTACTGGCCAACAAAACATTACTAATGGTTGATTTATGGTTTCTAATGGGAACAATATTTCAATGATTTTCAATGTAGTAAATAGTTTGCTACAGGGATACACTGGAAATAAGTGAATGGTCGATCTAATGTATTTTCCAACATTGTTTTCCAATATTCAGACGAAATTTTCGGATTTGCTTGAGGAACCCCTTCTGAACAATTTGCAGAACAACTCCCTATCGATTTTAATTGGGAGAATAAAAGGTCAAATTCAGCAAATGCAAGTTATGATGGTTCGACAGAACAACAAATAGTTTATATAATAATATATATATATATATATGTGTGTGTGATGATTCATGGCAATGAAACATAAGGATATATATATACATGTATGTAAAATTAAATAATCTATATTTTATGGATATTAAGGGTCCAAAAGACAACTAACAATCACTATCATGATGATGGTGCTAAGAATGTACGTATGATATTTGATAACTCCTGCAACTATTTTTTCAATATCATTATAAACCACTTAAAACTGTCAAGGGCAAGTCCAGTAAATGTGACTTTGTGCCACCCATGATGCCCCGATATTGCTGAAGTCACATCCGGATGCCCAGGGGACTTCTGTTCGCAGATGTTGGTCTGACAATGGGATACCCCTCGAAAATTGTTATCTGGTTGGTGGTATACCTACCCCTCTGAAAAATATGAAAGTCCAGTTGGGATTAGTATTCCATATATTATGAAAAAATGTTACAAACCACCGACCAGAATATTATTTTTATATATTTATATAATAGGAAAATCATGATTAACCTGTGGATGTAGTGGTAATTCTGAGTTTAGAGAGACTCGTGTCCAGTGAATCTGGAGTGCTGTTTACCCATAGAAAAGGTGTTGCTTCCAACCGATAGTCCGGGATCCTTAGATTCTACCACTCAAAGGAGTGATCAACCTGCACAATGAAATGCAATATGTCCATAGAACGTGCGACAATCGCAATATTTGTCAGGATTCTTTTTCCAGCAAACACACTGGAATTCCAATTAATTTCAATCCCCATGGATCCAGCAGTACTTTCTGAAGGAATATGACTGGGCTGTGATGAATTTGGGGTTCTGCCCTTCTCTCCCTCTCCGTTGCACCCACCAGTGCTTGCATGATCCCACATTGTCACCAAGGTTTCATCACAAGATCCAGAGAAAAAACATGATATTATCCACATGTTGCTTGATTAAAAAATATCAGCAACTCTGCGAAATCACCTGCAACTTCCATCCAATTTAACATCATTCATCTCAACATTCAATCACTCTTAAACACTATTTTCACCAGTGAAAATCACCAGCGATACATTGCTGGAACGGTCAGCGACAAAAAATCACCACGCGCCTCGCCTCGGCCGCGGCCTTGCTCGCCGGCATCGCCTCCGCAAAGAGCCGGAAGCGCTGGTGGATCTGTGCAGCAGTCAGGACCTGGGGCTGCCAGTGACCAGTCGCTGTTCCCCAAATGGATGAGAAAAGCAACAAAAATGACGATATCTTGGTGGGGATCCATGGAATTCAGCCAACAAACTAACTTGATATGATACGAACATCATGAGTTAGTGATTATCCAGGGGAGATATGGTGATTATAAAGGGATTGAACCAGCAACAATGAGGATATCATGGTGATACAATGGGAATATCATCGGAATACATATAGTGGGGTCTCAGAGTCTCAGGTGAACAAAAATGTTTAATCGGGGTATAAAAGGAACCGTTCCAAATTACACTGGGAAATTCTCCGGAACATGTTATGGGGATGTAATGGGATACAACCACCAATACGATAGTTGGGAGTGTCTGAGAATCAGGTATACACCCAATTTTAGAGGCGATGTGAATGGGAACATATCTATCCATTGCAATTAAATACCTCTTTTGTTTGGACATAAGTCAACTCTCAGTGTTGCGAATCTCCTGTCCTCGATGCAAACTGGGTGCCTCATGAGAGGCATCAAGATGTCAACCCTGAGATCTTGGATCCAAGACACGTGTGGCTGAAGGGGAATCCGTTAAGATCAGGATCAGGATGCCATTTTTTCTGATTCTGGTGATAATTGTGGATTATTGTGATCAAGACATGGGATATAAAAAATGTGAATGCGAAGACATCATACCCCAATGAATTCAATGTAATCTGAATGATTATATATATGTCAGTTCAAAAAAAACGTTTTGAGTGATCCGCTCAACTATTCTATTTCCAGGAAAAGACGGGATACCTCCAGCTAGCGTGGCAAACTCAGCATGCAATGCTCCCCCTGACGGGGTACAACAACTGGACAATGATGAAATGGTAGATGCATGGTACATAATTAAATGTACATACATATACTTATATATGTAGTTATTATATATAGAGTTAAATGTTATATACATATACATATCTTGAGAGGCCTACAAATATGGTACCATTTGTTGCCTGAAAATAACCCATTGGAATTGCCACATCAAGGCTATTTCAGACGGATTTCCCCAGTTGGGAAAAGAAACACTACCATCTCATCGAACTAGGCTTTGTTTTATTGCTTAAACCTTGATTTTTGCGCGTGAAATCCGTTTTCTTTGGTGGGTAACATCCAAATTTGTTACACCTCTATATATATATAGCCAAGGAGCTTCATTGGCATCAGCTTTCTGCAGCAGTAATTCTTGCAAACTTCGCCTCAGCGTGGCAGCTTTATGCTGGGAATGGGGACTGAATACATGGGAATGAATATATGATTGGTCAGTTGTTTCATAAGGAAATTCACGGTTGCTTGGTTGCTTCACCTGCAAATTTGATTGTGCACTAGGATAATGGGATATTAATGGGATGATAGTGGGATATTGTATTTGGATCTATAGATTTATAAAGGATATTCATGAATATTGCATGTATATTGTTTCCAGGTGCTCCCCCCAACGGTAAAGCGCCCAACAATAGGTGCTTCAGGGGTACTGTACCTCAGGTAGGGCTTGCTGATGACGGTGACCCTAAGGGCTTCGTTGTTGGAGGGTTGACGTTTGGGGGTGCACTCTTATTTAGATGTCCACAATGAGGGCGTGTCTGAAAATCTGATATACCCCTGCCTCAAATGGCTATCTTAATGGTGAACATGATAAACACATGGGTTTAGAACTATATACACGATGTTCAAACAAATTCATATAATCAAACAAAACATATCAACACCTTGAAATTTGAGCGTTGGCTCACAAAGGCTCAATCACCAGTCCCGTTGCAGCTGATCGTTGCCACCTTGCAGTCGCACCACTTTCGGGTGGTGGTTGCGATGACTGGCCCTTTCCGATCCTGTAAAGAGTTTGCGTGCATTGACACACCGCTCAATGCGAAACCGTGGAGCCCGAGATTTCCGCGCCACAGCCAAAAAAGCCAAAGCTTGGAAATTGTTGAGGAGTACCAAACTCATTCCGAGACCAGCCCGCAGGACGGATCCACTGCTCGGATAAAATCTTGGGAATGGTAAGCCATTCGGTCTTGTGGTACACGGCCTGTCAAATTGATGGATGATTTTGTTCTGACATTGGTTTTCCAATGAAGCTTCAATCAAGAGTTGAACTGCAGATTCTGCGACAAAGAAAGCGCCGCCTGCTTGGCACTGCGGCTCAAGTCCTGGGCTGGCTTGCCGCCTCATTTGCCGCACATGTTTGTGCAAGTTGCAGGATCAAGTTCTATCTTTTCCTCTTACTTTTTAAATATCATATATATATATACCCTAGCGGTCTGGGATCATTTTTGAAATGGTCCTGGCCCAAAGACCGTTTTTTGGGATGAACGTCCTAAACCATGGTTGTACTGCCAAGTAAAGGGAAGCATCGTCATTAAATGGTTCCTTTTCTGCAAACCAGTTGGAGTTAAGATGGCCGAAGAGAATTCTGGACAAGTTCTCATCCTTTTCCAAAAGCAATACCGGAAATGGGTCGGATTTCAACCATCCTCAATTAGGATGTTCACTCTTGGGTGTACCACATTACTTGACAAAAACATGAACCATGGTATGGCGGATAGGTGATGCCGGCCCAGAAAACAAATTGCCACCCTTGCTGGGTTGGTTGATAGAGCTCGTAGGATGTGTTTTTAAAGATTTCAAAACCTAGCGAAATCCACTGACCAAATTGACCACATTGAACAACATGATTTTGGAGGTATCAGGGATGCCATACTGTGGAAGGTTTGTCATTATACAAACCTGTAAAAGGGGGGATTGCCCCCAAATTGAACCGCACTCAGAAAAACAGATTTGTGGATCATGTTTCCATCAAGTATGTGCTTTTTTTTCAGCGCCAGTGTCGGTCAGCAAGGGCCACAAAGCATCCCTTCTGGGCACTTTTGTTATGATTAAAGAAATATAAAATATGATTCACAAGAGTGAATCAAATGCCATTGCGGAATGAATAAAAGGCATTAATTAATATTAATTACTAATCACATCTGGTTGGTGGTTTCAACCCCCTGAAACATATTAGTCAGATTGGATCATCATCCCAACTATTGCGGGGAAAATAACAAATGTTCCAAACCACCAACCAGATTACTAATCATCATTTATCTTCAAGTCGTTCGTTTCTCGGTCACTACATCATCCGGCAAGGCACATCTGTGCGCGAAGCTCTTCAAGTTGGTCCTCCACCGACTCCGAAGGGCAAAAACATTGGATTGATGAGTTGGATCAATGGTTCAACAAAAATGGGAAAATGATGCGATATAAATGTATTATATTATACAATATGTATATAATATATTATATATATAAATGCTATATATACAAGTATGTGATATACTGGAAGTATGGTCATCCATCTCGCCTAGCGGCTAATCCCAATGGATTTTTCTGACCCTCAAGGTGTATCCAACGAAGGTCACTGACAGGGCATCACGGCACGTCCTGCATCCGCGCAAGCTCCTGCGCGGTCACGGAGTCGAGAAAAACATCGAGATGTGTGGAACTGAACTTAAAGGGAAACCCCTGAAATCATGGTGATGTTTAATTCATCTGGTTGGTGATTTCAACCCCTCAGACATTATTCCAGATATATTCAGTTGGGATTATTATTCCCAATAAATCGAAAAATAAAAATGTTCCAAACCACCAACCAGTTATTATGTGGACATTTCCCGGAAAAGTTTTCTTTAAAGGACTCATATGAATGGTGGAAACTGCAAAAAATAAGCGATTGTTGGTACCTATATAATCCCTTGTAAGATCGAAAAATAACTAGGGACAATCATTCAAATAATGATTGATGGAGATTCCCAACTCATGGATGATTCCAGAGATGAAGATTCTCGTGCCAAGCTGAAATTTAAGGGTGACTCCCAAATTATGTACTCCCCCCCGAAAGCAAATTTAATAAGCCCAATAGGGGTTGATGATCTTTGCAGTAAGAACCCCCTGTGCTAAGGCCCATAATTCTTGGGGGACCTTTGGAGTTCCCCAATTCCCAGGATGGCCAAGCGAAGGAATTTTGGCATTTAGGGGGCCATCTTGATATACTTTGCAGCGTCGAAGCATTTCATGAAGGATTTTTTTCGCTTAAGAAACAATATAATTTGCTACACAAAAATAGCGGGGTGGGAACCTTCCCAAGACATATCGATAATGTGCTGATTTTGTGACCGAGTCGAATGTGGGATTTCCCATTGCTACGTTAGGTAAAAAGAAAAAGAACAATGGAGTACTCTCAAACACAGCGACTATTATGGGAGTATTCTTGCTTGGGCTCAGGTCCAGACTGAGCCACGCAACATCACGCAACCAATTGGACTTTTTCATTTACCACCAAGATCTCTACTTACATGACCATTCCATGCGTGCGCGCTGCTAAAGTCGAAGAGAAATTTCAAGGCGTCAGCGATTGGAAGCTCTCTGCACAACATCGATGTGAGCTTCTCGACAGTCGGCTTCGTCTCCGCCGGCCGGCAAAAGTTGAATGCTAGCACGAGGCGCATAGAAGAACTTTTAGGTGTTGTACCCAGACTTGAAGCTGCAGGCAGGTTCAGAAACTGGAGGTTGTAGCGCCCATCCGCACCCAGTCGCTCTCACAGGATGTGGCTCCCGTCTTCCCAACCCGCACCATCGACACCATGTAGCTGCTTGATGCAGCACTCTGTGCTTCAGCAACTTCACCTCAGCATGGTAGCTGAACTTTGTGACGTTCTGTGTGCGGAGGACCGAAGCCACGCCCCTCACAAATGCAACCTCTCGGTTGGCTTCCACCAAGGTAATTGGCAAGGCTTGAATGAGGCGAAGTAGCCAGGCTTCTCTATGGTTTCTCTATTAAATTCCTTCTGTGACCTTTTTTGTAGGCTCAATCTGCCCCGAACCCCCAATTATTTTCTCAAAGCTTAAGGAACTCCAAGTAACTGTCTCAAGTTGTGCAGGTACATTGGAAAAGAATGGACATCCATTTTTAAACATCACTTAATCCTCCATTTCATGTTTGTTTCAGAGCAAATCGTCCTTCTTCTCCTACGATAACCATGTTTCTTCGTACATGCAAACCTGGCTTTCGACTGCCAACTGCATAAGAACCTCTCAACACTGGGCAGGAATCAGTGGCAGCAAATGTTTGTTCATGTTTGGTGGTTGCTGGTCTTCAGCAAATCCAGGCTTTAGAACTTGCTGCAGCCCTTGACACATCAATATTATAAAAAGAATCCCTTTATAAAATATTGGTGGTAGTGTCTTGCTTACATGAAAAACAAATCAGAGACCCTGCAACAAGCGGTTGTTGCAGTTTTGAAAACAGGCTCTGTGAGCCATTTCATACAACCTGTACAATAAAATACTCCCATAAACTCATAAACTGCTTGGTTTTGTACTCCGTTATTTTCATTCAATCATCAGTTGCCTTGTTTGATCTCGTTCGTTCTTCGATATGATTCCAATGATGTTTGGGATGACTATCACTCGCCATGTTTGATGATTGTTTGCCACCATTGTTTGATGGTTGCTGATGGTTGCATCCCAAGGCCAAGATCAACCAATATTCCATTCGAGTCAAGTCCCAAAATTTCATTCATTGTTTGCACCATATTCTACATGGGCAAATTACTCCAGTTTTAAAAGCTCCAAAAAATCAGACCATCTTTGGGTTGGCCGGTCGGATCCCAATTTCTGAGGTCAATCCCGCGCTATGGCTGGTTTGATATCTATCTTTTAAAATTACTTTACTTCGTGTGATCCCCACCATGGCATTTATACATTTTGTTACTGGCAAATCTTCTGGCATTCTATCTAACATTTTATCTGGCATTCTATCTGGCATACCTTCTGGCATTCTATCTGGCATATCTTCTGGCATTCTATCTGACGTTCTATCTGGCATATCTTCTGGCCCTGGCATATCTTCTGGCGTTCTATCCTACATTCCATCTGGCATATCTTCTGGCATTCTATCTGGCCGTTGAGGTCCAGCGGTGCACACTGAGCTGGGCAGGTCCCAGGTTGAGGTCCAGCGGTGCACAGCTGGGCAGGTCCCCGGTTGAGGTCCAGCGGTGCACACTGAGCTGGGCAGGTCCCCGGTTGAGGTCCAGCGGTGCACACTGAGCTGGGCAGGTCCCCGGTTGAGGTCCAGCGGTGCACACTGAGCTGGGCAGCTCGCAGGTTGAGGTCCAGCGGTGCACACTGAGCTGGGCAGCTCGCAGGTTGAGGTCCAGCAGTGCGCACTGAGCTGGGAAGTTGGCGAAGATCTTGGCGACGAGTTGGCAAGGTTGGCAAGGCGGAAGTGGAGGTGGTGCAAGGCGGAAGTGGAGGTGGAAGAGGCGGAGGCGAGGAGGAGGGCGAGGAGGACAGCTAGTCGAGGAGGAGGAGGAGGAGGAGGCGGAGGAGGCGGGCATGCGCTCTGATAAAATCTAACAACCCTCACCTGGCAGGTGGGGAAAAACCGTTGTATCATCATGATGATTGCTTAGATCCAACGTCAAAATAAACAACATAACATACTCCTTTGCATATAGTCCTATAATCCCGTGATCTTTGGTTTTATATCCATGTTATTCATTCCTAAACCCATGAAAAACCCAACCAGCATATTTCCATAGTAAAACTCTCCATTTGTTAAAGATCACCCGAGGGCCCGAAGCAGACACAGCCCGACGCCGTCACGCCGAGCCGTCCTTGGCATGTGCCGCATAGAAGAGTTCAAAGCGCTGATGCACCTCCGCCTTGGTCAGGAAGACCTGGAAGCAGAATTTGGTGTTTGGAATGGTTGATAATTAATGGATAATAATGGATTATATTAATGGATATACTCTCTTAATTATTTTATTGTATATATATATATATTATTAATGGATTGTAAATATATATATATATTATGAATGGATTATCTATATATATATATATTATTAATGGATTATATATAAATATGATTGATGAAAACCCACTATTGGTCTAATATGGTTTGATGGGGATGATAATGGGATAATGATGGGATAATACTGGGGTATGAATAGGGTTGATACCCTCTGGGAAACTAACAGGGACCCTCTGGTAATTTACTGGGGGTTCATGAAGTTTTAATGGTGATAATCCAATGTTATAACATAACTACCCTCTGGTAAACTGTTGCATAACTATGCGAAATCACAATTTTTAATGGGTAAATCCACTATTTCAATGGCATTTTTCAATAGCTTTTTGTATGATTACCAGAGGGTATAACTATTGAAAATCACGTTAGGTGCAGATTTAATAGGATATCATGGGATTATAATATATATATATATGCGTAATTGGGATAACCTAACATAACTATGGAAAACCCCCATCTCTAATAGGTAAATCAACTATAAATGAGACATGTTCAATAGCTATGTTAAATTACCAGAGGGTAACGGTTGACCATCTTTGGATAAATGGTCATTAATATGGAATATCCGCACTTATATACGGTTTTGAATAAAATGACCTATACGCCCCAGTTATCTATACATATTATATATATAAATATATATGTGAAATATCCCCACTGGGTCCCCACTTTGGGGATTATATGGGCTGTATTAATGGATTATAAACCACCTAGAAAGGGTGAAGCACATCCAAGTAATATAACCCAATCCCCCTAATATGAAACACCAGCATTGTATGGTCCCAAATATCTGTACATTCCCTACTAAACCACTGTTTCTGGGGGGTGTTTAATGTTAGGGAGAAGGGATCGCTAAATTCACAGAACTATTGACAATCTTAATTTAATAGGTGAATCTTCTATCAATAGATGGGCCGTGGCTTCCATAGCTATGTTAGTTTACCAGATTGTAAACTTTTTGGGCGATCCTGTCTGTGGTATCTATCCCCGGTTTTCCACATATGGATCTATCAATATACGTTTTGTTAAAAAAAAGATAGATGATAGATATTGATAGATCCATATGTACGATAGATCCACATATTGATTCCACATGTTTTTAAATATACCAAATGGGATGACACATATCGTGTCTTATGTGTCTAGTTGGAACGTTCTTGTGGGGGTCCAGCCGCTCAGCTTGAGTCGCCATCGTATGCGAAGGTCAACGAAAGAAGAGCTTTGATGAACGAGGAAAACACCACAAATGTGGAATGTAATGAGGACACAGAGGTTGATGGTAGCACTTAGCTATCTTGAGCCAAATATCGAACATCTTGCTATATCCGTTGTAGAACTGACACGTTCAATTCCTTCTGTTGGCGAATTCGTGCGTGAGCCTGACGCAAATTTCAAGCAGACATGATGCTCACTCTTATCAAGTGTCTTCCCATTGACTGTGGCCAAAACTTGCCATGCACCGAGCCCACATGCACGGAAGACGGTGGAGCACTGTGAATGTGTAAAAGAAAGTGCGCGGTCCCTGGTTCGTCAGATTTGGGTGATTGGTGATTTCCGTTATGCAAAAGAGATTTTATCCACTACGATATTGTTTAACGTGCAATATCTCCTTCGCCCTTTGCAAAGCCCTACCAATGTAATTCCTAACATGTTCATATGCTACTGACACGTAGCGTTTTGGGAGCAAACCACTTTGAACTAACAGCAGCAAACCAAAAACAGGGTTGCCAACCAAAAAAACATTTTTTTTAAAAAAACATGATTTCAAATGCAACGTGTCGTGGCCATGGCCGGCTGATTATTGGGTAAGGCCAGAACAAATAACCATCTGAACCCCTCTTTGGCTTTCTTGCTCTTTTTGTCTACCTGCTGTCGATTCACCTTGCGCCTTTTCCTGCTTGTTTTCGTTCCTGGCTTTCTTTCATACTTTCGTTTCTTTGCTCTTTTCCTTTGTTCCACATCAGTTGCTTTTCTCCTTCCCTCCTTCTTGCCCTCTTTCTTTCCTTCCTTGCGCTGTTCATTGCACTGTTCCTTTCTTCAGCCTTCCTTGCCTGCTTCCTTCACTCCTTACTTCCGTTTCGTCCTTCCGTCCCTCCTGTGTTCCCTCCTTTGTTTCCTTCTTTCTTTCCTTCCTTCTTTCCCCTCCTTTGCTTCCCCTTTTGTTCCTTCTTTTTTCCCTCCTTCTTTCCCTCCTTTATTTCCTTCCCTCCTTCTTTCTTTCTTTCTTTCTTCCTTTCTTCCTTTCTTGATTTCTTCCTTTCTTCCTTCCTTCCTTCCTTTCTTCCTTCCTTCCTTCCTTTCTTCCTTCCTTCCTTCCTTTCTTTCTTTCCTTCTTTCCTTCTTTCCTTCTTTCTTTCTTTCTTTCTTTCCTTTGGTTCAAAGAGTATTTTTTTGATCCTAAAAAAAGTTTCTTTGATCCTAATAGTAATTTTTGGATCCTAACAATATTGTTTTGATCCCCATCCCGATTACCAGAGGGTACTATGTCAATGAAATAATTTCGGTATCTAATTGAGAAGCCCCCCTGCGAAGAGCATGACTTCTATCTGTTCCTATTGAATTTTCTCAGCTAAGATATTTATATATATATATAAATTGGTTAAGACCATGTACAATTGATCTTAATTGATCACTATTGATTGAGTTTCCTATTCATGGCTACGAACAAACAAAATCATTACCAAAAAATCACACAGCCAAGCATCTGCACTCAATCAGACATTCATGACACATATACCCCTAGGTAAACATATGAAAAGATGTTTTTCCCCTAAAAGTTGGAGGCCAAATATTGGAAATGGCCTGGAAATGGCATGTGACCCGTCTCCATGCACTGGCTGGGATGTGCCTAAAGATTCCCCATAAATGATGGACATGGTGGATTTCCCATTGGGAAAAGTCATGGAACATACCAACATCGCATTAGAAAAACCTCGATCCCTGCCTCTGTCTGCTCATTGCTTGGCTGAGCGACCTCCGATGCTTGAGCTGGGAAGAAAACCGGGTGCGATGTGAAGATCCCCCAAATCTGGGATAAAAATCGAGTTTCCATTCATTTTAAATTATTTTCAGTATTCCACAAATGTTTCAGATTTTCTCAAACATGGATTCATGGATCATATGGATCCAGAAAATGGGAGGTCTTGGCGGTCTTGGTTTGAATCTACCGGCTTAAGCCTGTCCCAGTTCAGGGCGGTGAAATTTACCCTCTGGTAAACTAACATAGCTATTGAAAATGGCCATTTATAGTGAGTTTTCCCATAAAAAATGGTGATTTTCCATAGCTACGTTAAATTACCAGAGGGTAAGACATTTTGATGTTGATAAAGATGGAGATTTGACCAAATAAAATCAGCACCAACCAACACAGGAGTCTCCATTTATCCTCCTAAAGATCCCATACAGATGGTGGAGATCTGTAATTTCCGGGATCAATAGATACCCTTTAAACATACAAAAGAAATGTGGAACACCCGCCATTTGTAGATCCGTTAACGGGAAACCGTTCATCACTTTTCCACATCTATGTCGGTTTACCCTAAAGTAAATCCTCCATTCAGCAATTCGTTTCCATTGTTTTCCCATTAAATCATATCGAATCGATTTAAATCATCCATTTTTAGGCTGGTTGGTGGTTTCAACCCCTCTGAAAAATATGAAAGTCCAGTTGGGATGATTCTTCCCAATATATGGAAAAAATGATAAAAAGAAAACATGTTCCAAACCACCAACCAGTGAGGATTTCCCAGCTAGACAGCGCCAGCGCCGCACTTTTGCGCCTGTTCCACCTTGGCTTCCAGAAGTTCGAGTCGCTTCAGCAACTCATCCACCTTCTTCCCTGTGGGTCGCTGGTATCACACCCATGGAATCCCATGGGTTTCGCACCAAACTAGATGGGATAGGTTGGGATATCGTGGGATTTCCATCTCCGTTTTTTTTCATTATGTGTATAAATATAAATAAATAAATAAATATATATATATATGTATTCGCCTTCATCTATCCCCAACTGGAGATAATTGGAATTCACCAGCCAACACTAGGAATATAGTGGGGATGTAATCTGATGTAATCGAGATAGTAACAATAGCTACGATGGAACTGGGATTTCCAAAGTCATGAAACGGGGGTGATGAAGGTGAATAAAAAGAACTCAACAGGTGCTTAGGATTGAACATACTCTTTTGTGAGGCCCGGCTTGATTGTTTCAAATCTTTGGTATATACCCAGCAAAAAACGGGAAATGTCAGCTTGGCACAACATGTTCCCTCATGAACTGCTAACATCTGCAACTCCAACTCGTCAATCCGCATCAACCATCATCAACCTATCATGGGAATGTCGAGGTGAGACCCCTGCATGAAGTAAGACAATAGTTATGCAAACCAAGGATGCCATGTGCAAAAAAACATCCATGGGCCAGTGGTCATATTGGTTGGATCATGATAATATATAGCAATAATGATGATGGTGGTGGTGGTGATGATGATCATCATCAACATCACCAGCAGCAGCAGCATCAAATTAGTACCAATGCGGTTTCGTGGTGTACAAACACCTTCACTAAAAAGCGGTTGGTGGCAATCTGCTCCAAGTGTCGAGGGCTGCATCCCGTCAGTGCGGATGGAAGGCAAGTCCCAGGGGCTACTTTTAAGATCGTTTTTTGTTGATTGTTATGATTATTATATTATTCTTGTACATTGTTATCATCGTTATATGTATATATATATGATTTTGGTCATTATCAAGAAACAAACATCATATCCACCAAGCCCAAACTTTGAACAAGATGACCCAGCGACCTCTGGCTACGGGCGTATTCCAGAGCAACACACAGAGGATCCAGGTCACGAAAGGCATCCGCAGGGAGTAAGCCATGCTGAAGCGATATGATGACGACCGTTCAAGCGATGTTTTTTTTGGGGGGCTACCTGGTTATAATTACCACAGTTGGGATAACCTGAGAATTGATGGTTATCTGATGCATTTCCTCTGGGACACATAGCAAAAAGGAAAAGAGACCGACGATGGTGTCTAAACTCACCACATGATGCACCTGACAGATGCGCTGCTTTGCCACATGATTTGCCAATGGGAAAATGACCCCAGAGTTGATGACATGGGTCATGAACATCTAAAACCTCATGAAGGCTCGTGACATCGTTCTTCCCTGTCCATGTCAAGCCCATACGCGAAGCTGTGGTCACTGCTGAGTCATGGCGAGAGTGGAAGGTCCCTTGGATTTTGGCTGCTTCAGCAGTAAGAATCACATTTATAGTATCTGATAAATAATAATAGTATAAAAATAGTATCACAGGATATTCTATTATTCGAATATTCTGCTTGTTTATCTTAAATATATATATATATATATATAATAATATTATTATATTCTAATGATTTATACTAATAGTAGTGGAAGTAAACCCGAAAACAAACCATGCCCAATAGATGTTTATTTTGTTGGGTATAACTATACCCAAATGAGTGGCGGACAAAATTACTTACTACCCGCAATGGACATGGCCAAAGTGGGTGGTCCCCTATCGGTTGCGAAAGTTTGTATGTGTGAAAATAGGGTATCGGCGGTATCGGTAAGTGGGTGGTCCCCTATCGGTTGTGAAGGTTTTCGCACAAATTTGAAATCCCAAGTCCACTCCCTACTACTTTAGTCTTCCGCTAATTTTGTCGGTAACTCATAGGAATGACTTGAAAGGAAAGCCTAATTGATGGTTACTGGGATGGTTTATTATTAGGTTTACCACATTAGTTGTAATCAGCCAAAAACAAGGGTCAAGGTTTTGGTTCCATGGTTATCCATTTTTGGTTCCGGTTGGTCCACTGGAATGGGGCTGATTAATCTTTTACACAGAACCCATGATTTTGGTTCCAAATATGGCATATCCTGTCAACTTGCCACCAAATCTGCCGGAGAAATGCAGGGAAAATCATCTTTAAGAGGTCTGTGACAAGAACTCACCAGCAATGGTGACAGCCACAAAAGATTGGCAGGAATGGGACAAATCCACCCAAATCCTGATTGAATGTCTGGAAATTGGTGGTCCAAAATTTAACCATCAGAGAAACAATCTAATTAACCATCAACAAGTTTACATTAACAATATTCTGTTCTTGATTGGTGTGTACAGTGTGCAACTCACTGTTGGTTATGCACCCACCCCCGCGGCTGTGAACATTACAAGAAAACAAAAATCTTAGTGAGTTGAACTCCTTGTGTTGTTCGTATACTGTATATACTCATTTCATACCAGTAGTACCCCCTATTTTCATCATGGTCTTGTCTGAAAATGTGGTACTCCATGGTACGCCCCAGATCCCATGGTTCACCCGTTGCAAACGGCTGGAACCCTGCGCTGGCTCCTGGTCTGGAACACGGGCCTAGGCAAGGGTCGATCCACGCATTGGCGAACCGTGGGGCGTGGGGCAAACAAAAACATTCACAAAACATGGGATTGCAATGGGCGGTTATCATTGTTTTCCGATATCCACCATGAATCTTAGATTAGCTTCATAACCCCATCAGATTCCGAAAAAAAATAGTGGATTTGTTTATTGTTTTTTTAATCGTCTTCAGCAAATCCAAGATATCCACAATCAATTCGCCATATCTTACTTACGCGTCACATGTCTCTTCAAGACCTGCCTCTTCAACTCACTGGATGGGGGTGCTGGGTGCTGGAGCTAAAAAACACTAAAGAAAGTTTTAAAAAACTAGACAATAACACTCAAGCATGTTAAGGAAAAACTCTAGGAGGGAGCGCCCCTTTCGGCGGCCCAAAAGTGAGATTTGTTTAGCCTTATTTTAGCATTTGTTTAGTTTTTCTATCATTTTCGTTTTTTGTGTTTTCTATTTTTTTTGTTGTTTTTTTTTTGCTGTTGTAATAAACATTTTTCAGTTTTTTGTATGTGTTTCCAGTTTCTTTCCATTTTTCAGATTTTTCCAGTTTTTCTAGCTTTAATATGTTCTCTGAATTCTAATTTTCCTTCGGCATTCCCTGTTTCTTCTGTAGATTTTGAATTGATTGTATGGAGTGCCTGTGGTGAGATCTCCAAAAAGAACCAAATATCACGCGGAATAGGATTGGATTTTTCTAGCATTTTGTAATTTCTGTCTGGATTCCTTCAGTTTCTTGTCGGATTCCCCTGGGATTCCTTTAGCGTTTTCCAGCTCCAAATTGTTTGAAGCGACACCTCTTGAAGAGACATGCCATATGATCCTCTTCGCGGGATTCCAGCAACAAAAAGTCCAACGATTCTTTTCTCCTCGAGAACCATTGACCTATTAATCGCCAAGGTTTACCCAGGACCTATTAATTGCCTGAAGTTCATTGAGTTGAGCGTCAAGGTCTTCCTTGGTCACGTTCACATGCGGGTCAACCAAATTAATTAGAATGAATGTATGTATGTATGTATGAATGTATGTATGTATGTATGTATGTATGTAATGTTATGGTATGTTATGCTATGTTATGTTATGTTATGTTATGTATGTATGTATGTATGCATGTAAGCATGTATGTATGTATGTATGTAGGTATGTATGTAGGTATGTATGTGTGTATGTATGCACCAGGCCCTGCCACCCCTCCCCCCCCATGAGATGGGTCCCATCTACTGGCCCCATATGAGATCTTCCCCGTCCCCCCCTGTGGTGTGGTGGGGGTGTGGTATGGTATGTTGGGTATGTATGGTGTGTATGGTCGTGTAGTGTCGGTCTGGTATGGCATGTTTGGAAAGTATCGTGTGTTTGGTATGTATGGTAGGTATGGTATATATGGCATGAGTGGTTGGTATTGCATGGATGGTAGGTATTGTATGTAAATCTCTTGGACATGGTATGTTTGATATGACAGTATGTATGGTATGTATGGTTACTATGACGGGTATGGAATATTTCCTATGTAAGGTAGGTGCGGTATGTATGGCGTGTATGTTTGCTATTGTACGTATGGTAGGTGTGGTAATTACATTTCATATGTATGGTATGTATGGTATGTATGATAGATATGATAGGTATGGTATGCATGGAATCATTGACATGTATGGTAGGTACGGTATATGTTAAACACAGGTAGTGTTGTCAGAGTACACTGATTTACCTGTTAAAGATTGTGATTTTCCAAAGCAAACTGTTAGTTTACCAGAGGGTACCCTTTTTGCGGGTGTACCCCCTGTGAAAACCCAGATTTCATCAGCCCAGCACACAGCGCCCCGTCGCCTGTGGGCTATAGCGAGGGGTGGAACTGCTGCCAGGTATTGTCGCGGTGTCTGCGAGGGTACAAATGTGATAACCAAAAGGGTGGGTGATATCTAACTACAACGGGTATCCCGGATATCCCCACTTCAAGATGGTTCAATCATGCTAAAACATCATATTCGATATTGAAAGTGCCTCTTAATTTGTTTTTAAATGCCAACCTCGGATCCATCAACTTTGTTGGTTCACCATCCGGGAGTTACCCTCCATATTTCAGGATGAACTACTGCTACTAAAGTTGGTACCCCATTCGTTAACTGGGGGTTGGTAGGTCCCTAGGTGGACATTAACCAACTAAAGCGGGTATCGACATAACTTTATGACGGCTCAAACATGACAGGTCCCGGAATTCTCATGATTGAATCTCATGGGCATGCATCTACATAGTTATCACATGTCATCATGCTCATATTCAATACTTGTTCAACATTTGTGGCATATATATATATATGCCATATCTATGGATCAACTATAGAGTGCTAACGGCCCTACATGCCTGATTTTAGTGACAAATAGTGTCAGTGTGCCAACATGCATGGTGGGGATGAGTCATCACCCAGTGGACCCGCAAGCCAGCAAAACAACCCATACATGTTGCAAATACTAAATACCAATGAAATACTATGAAGAAAAACATCGTACATTGCATGAGGCCATATATAACTACGAAATATTAATATATAAAATACAATTAAATATCCATTCACGTACACACTCAGCAAAAAGAAGTCGGATTCAAAAACATGTGATCTTTGATGCTTGAATGAATCGATTGATCTTTAGAGACAAAAACAAAGTGGTCGGAGTCGGGTTTCAACCACTTGAAAAATATGAAAGTCAATTGGGTCCATTCACAGCCCAAAAAAATAAAGAAACATCGACTAAAAAGAAAGCATGGTGTAGAGAAACATTCCGAACATTCATTCCGAAAATATTAAGCAATTTTTCACAAAACTTAACTGTTCGGTCTATGATCTATAGTTGAAGGGGTTGTAAACCAGCAAAGGGGGGCAGCATGCAAAATATCAAACTGAGATGTCTAGCTGTGATATACACCCAGAAATGATGTTTGAAAATAAAGAGCTTGGACCCAGCTTGACCTCGTGCAGACTTCAAACCAAGGTTTGCTGGTCCAAATTGTGCGCAGGAATGTGGCTTTGTTCAGCCGGGATACCCTTGTTTTGTTGCCATTCAAACAGAAGTAGAATTAGGTTCATGAACCAGGGGAATCGGTTTTCACCAACATGTACGGACAAACCCATATATCATACTATTAAATATTAGTAGTTAGCTTATGTCTCATTATTGTCATTCTATTCCTATGCATTTTTCTTCCTTCGTCGAGGCACAACAACAACGAGTCGCAAATCCTAGCTGGAATTTCAAAAAGCTGTGGCGATCTCTGGTCCAACATGGAAATCATGTGGTAATTGTCATTTTCGACATCCTAAACATTTTCTTTTTATATGACTTGAGGTTTATAACATCCCCCATTCGTAATCCATACGTGGGAATTGCCTGAAATAGGGGTGCTCCATACATCATGCCCAAATGCGTGGGTATCCCAATTGAGGTATCCTAAATAGGTATCAAGAATGGATGGTTTAAGAAGAATATCAGAATATCCATGAATATCCCTATTGGGTATCCCCAAATGGAGGTTTCCTAAAATGAAGGTACTCCTAAGTCATCCATGTTAATTTGGACTTTTACATATAAACATAATTAAACATATATAACCCATCCATTTTTGAGGTCTCCCACTTTAGGACACCTCCACCAGCACCTGCAAGCGGCCGCGGGGCACCCGGGGCACCCGCCCCGGCGCTGCTGACAGCACCACCTGGCATGTAACCAACAAAGATCAATGGACTGGTTTAAGGGAAAATTGAAACCGGACACCCCCGATATTTAATGCGAGAATCGATGGTTTCCGGTTAAGATTTTCCCCTCAACCAATCCATTGACAAGAGATAGGGATTTAGAGACTACTATTATCTACTGATGTTCAAACCAAGGTTCAGGCTGTATTCAGCTCAAGCCGCCCATCTACGAAGTAATCTTAGATCCACTGGTTGAAGTAGTCTTAGATCCATCATTGTCCATCATTTTGCCAGCTATATTCAACCAATCTGGATATATTATACTCATTCACCAATCTGAATACCTTTTGGGGATGGTTCCCCTTACATTCACCATTATTCACAGTGTCCAAACATGTTTAGATCGATTGGGGAGGTACTATCAACATCGGCCACCCCCAAAAATAATCTGGGGTCTAGTGTTAGTAGGGCAATGTGCTGTACCACCTCTATTGGTACTACCAACCATCCCACATGGTAGTTGTTTATGGCATTGGGTTTCCCACATTGTTGATAGTCTATATATATATATAAATAATAATATATCATATATACAAATATAATCTATAAAATTCTATAAAAACAAATCTGGTGTCTATGAATCATGGGTCAACATTGAACATCAAACCACTGGTTTAACGGACATTGTGAATCGTCATCTGAAGCCGAAAATATCAGGCCGTTTTTCACCAGTTCAACCACTGAAACAAGTCTGATAGGTATCCCGTTGATTGATGCGGTGCATTAGCTCACAACTCCCAACAAGGCAATCCAGATCTATGTTAATTACCCTATGGTTATGACTAACATAGCTCTATGGAAAATGGCCCATAGAAATAGATGGTTTACCTATTAAAAAATGGTGGATCTTTCCATGGCAAATTCTTAGTCATAACCAGGTGGTAATCTTATGGACAATATGTGCATAGAATGTTCAACCAATGTATCCCATGATCCCACCATTTCTGTTGCAAAAAAACAGTTTTTGACCTATGTCCAAGCTGTTTGTCAAACAATGCCACGTTCACGTTCGTGGTGGATCCCGATGACATCATCTTTTTTGGTGAAGTCACAACGGCTTGTCTTGTTGGATCCCTCTGGGATCTTTAACATAGCTATTGAAAATAACAATCTTTCATAGGGAAATCATCTGTAAATGGGCCGTCTATACCAATTCGCACCGACATTACAATTTTTGGTAAGCAAATCCCAATAAAAAAAGCAACAATTTTGTTGCTTAAGTCGATTTAAGGAACTGTTTTCTTGGTTTAGCCACCATTTGTAAAGTTGATTGAATCCCGATTTTGGTTGATTAAGCCCATTGTTTGCTTAAATCCCAGTTTTGTGTTGGTTCACCCTTTTTGTCGAGCCACCAGTACCCTCCGGTAATTTAACATCGCTATTGAAGGTAAACCATGTGTATTCAAACTAGTGATTTTCTATAGTTATGTAAGCGTTTACCAGGGGGTATATACCTATTAAATCTATTAACCCATATTATAGATGATTTTCCCATGAACAAACATCCATTAAATATCATGGGCATTTCAAAAAAAAATCCATTGCTGTAATATCCCATTAATATCCATTAAACCTCCATTAAATCATGGGCATTTTCCATTAAAGTCCTGGTCCTCCACCAATCTTCACCCATCCCCACCTGGTCCACCAATCCACTCGCGTTTCGTCACGGGATCCAACCGGTCGTTGGCAACGGCTGGTGGCCGTGCGTGGCCGGGGCTCCAGGTGCGGCCGCTCCTGTTCGGCGTGATTTCTGGGGTGATTTCAGCAGCAAAAATCGGAGATGCCAACCATGAAACATCATGAACCTAGATTTGAATTTTGTTTGAGAACTGATCCTCCAAATGATTTCGGAAAAAGATGTTGATTTCAGTGTGAAAATCAGAGATTTCACCATCGAGAGCAGAGGATTCTATAGAGGGTTACTGCATATAACCATAATTGGGTTTGCCCGAAAATGTGGTATCTCCGAAATTACAATCTTCAAGAAGCAATGTGCTAAAAACTCGATTCGGAATGCGGAGGTACCCAATTTTCAAGACCTTTTTTTTTTGAAAAAGCAACGATGGACTCTTCGGCCAAGCGGCACCACAGCAGCAGAATCCAGTGGATACCTCGGAGCCGGGAAACCCAGCAGAAACACGTGGATTTGCCTCAGATTCCAAAATTCCCATAGAAATAGACATATTCCATAGATTTTTTGATCCGTTAAAATACTCAAAACATCCCCATAGATTCCCCAGGATGTTCCCATTAAAATCGAAGATAGACTCAGCAAATCCAACTGGTTTTCCCATGTTTCCCTACCCTAAAAAAGGAAGAAAAACAAACGGGACCCCCGAAGAACACATGATTGTGATGATCACCATCAGTCTTGTTCGTGTAATTGTGCAATTGTTCATATTAATAAAAACAGTCTCGTAAAGGTTTATTTACCATCATTTCTGCAGGCATGTCAATCAAGAACTCAGTTTATTTTGCTGCGCACCAAACATTGCCAATTAGATACCCTTTCAAAGATAGAAACAAACCATGTTGGTTAGAATCATGTACCAAAAAAATCGTTCGTTCACAGAAATGCTCCAAATTGACAACAAATAAGAACTAAATTAGTATACTGTACTAATATGTACTAATTAATCAGCAAACACTAGATCAAAAGATCACGTCAGGTTGACCGGGAAGACCAGGCCGCCATATGTTGAAGATAACTATACATATATAAATATGTAAATATTATATATACATATATTTTTACTAGTTCGATAAATACACATATATATATAATATCAACAAAAAAACTAGTGAAATTGGAGTGAGAAACCAACTAAGCTCTGCAAAATTTCTACATATCACTATATGAAGAGGCAAATCATCTATAAAGCACAGTAATGCGCCAGCTATATACATCAGACCATAGCAACATCGCTATGCAACACATTGGATGCCCCAGTCCCACTACGAAAAATCCCACCGTCCAGTGACTGCATGGCTTCAGGACGGTGCAATGTCGCTTCGCCAGCGGCCGGAAACGTCGGAAACGCCGCCGGAAAGGTGCTGAGCTGGGGTGCCTTGGATGTGGAGCTTGCGGAGGCATTCCCTGGGTCCCAACAATCACGGATTTACCTATGTTTTATAGAGGTTTGATGGTAGTTTTATACGGTTTTGTATGGTTTAATGGGGATAAGAATGGAATAATCAAAGAACATCAAAGAGCTAAACTATGGACAATGACGCATTTGTAGATTTACCTAAATATGAAAAAAGGTGATGTTCCATACTGATGTTAAATTGCCGGAGGGTCGGGGACTTGCTCCCCAATTTACCACAATGTTTCGAGAAAACGATGACAAACAGTTGGATTTTGACGGTGTATGTATATGCTGTTGTTTCAGACAGACTCATCTTTGGTACATTTACCTACGAAACTGGCGGTTTGTGCTTTCAAGCCTCCCGCAAGTATTTCAAGTAAGGCTGTCATCCAAAAATTACCTGGGAAAACATGAGAAAGAGTTGAACGCAGATAAATCATAAATGCAACATTTGGCACGGAATTGGTGTAATGGCATTTAAAACCCTGGCTGACCCAAATACCCCACAGACACATCCAGTTATGGCCTAGAATCAAACCCTGAACTGAACAAGCCACGTTTTATCAAGCCATGCGTTTGAAATGCAAACCCTACAAGCATGGCGGCTATCGGAGGGTTTCTGTGAGCAAAAAAAATGGATCAGACATCTGCGCATGTTGCACAAGCAGAGCACATTTCATCCAGCAGGAAGGTTGTATCATCTGAATCCAACAAAGAGGATGTTCTTCACCTGGAGGTCGATCCAACCATTAACTTCTTCAAGAACAGGGCTTCCCCGAAATGCTGCAGGTCCTCCTAAATCTGGTTCACGACCTGGTGGTTCTTCCGGTGAGGTCATGATCAAATTAGTCCAGATATATATATATACATATATATATATTAAATAACAGTAACTATATATATATATATATACATTATCCCCATTATATCCACATATCACCATTAATATCAATTTACTGCATAATCTGTACAATTCTTGTTAGACAATAGAAATATCAATATCCCCTACAGTATACCATATGTTTATCCATTATCATCCACTCATAAACCAGTATTGTCCAATATTCTCCCAGGGCTATCCCCTTTTATTCATTAATGGAATTCCCATTTTATTCACTAATGGAATTCCCATTATCTACAATGATTTTTCCATTATCATCCCATTATTATCCATCCATTGATGTCCAGTAAATCCCAGTAAACATCCCCATGGTGTCACTACTAATATCCATTTATACTCTGCAAACCATAGGAATATCATGGGTAAGACTGGGTGATGATTGATTATACCATCATTTTATTAATCAGTATATCATCCTTTACTATCCACTATTATCCCATTCATAGCCATTGATAAACTTTATGAAACAATGGGCATATTAAACCATATAGATGGATAATCATTATAAATCACTATAAGTAACTGTATAATAAATATAATCACTATAAATCACTATAAGTCACCACATAATCACTATAAATCACTATAAATCACTATTTATCACTATAATCCCTATGGATAATCAGTAACCCACCGGGAACTTCCCTGGATCTCGAGGCACTCCTGTCCGCGGCAACGGACTGCCGCCACTGCGCTGCGACGCGGCCTCGGCCCAGGCGGCATGGGCCTGGAAACGGCTGAGCAGTGGGAATCAGTGACTGAAGATACGGTGGTTTTATAGCTGGTTGGTGGTTTTTATCATTGGTTAATAGTGGGTAATAGTGGTTAATAGTGGTTAATGATGGTTAATCATTGGTTAATTATGGCTGGTTAGTGGTGCAATAACCATCTTGAAACATATGAGTTCGTCAATGGGAAGGATTATTCCATATTGGAAAATAACAAATGTTCCAAACCACCAACCAGATAGTAATCATTGTGTTTTTTTTGGTGATTGAATGGGATTGATTGATGGGTGATTTATAGTGATTCAATGATTTTTTTTCTATGGATATGTCTATTGTTATTTAGAGTGATGTGAAATCAAAAATATGGATCTAGAGAGGGATTGTATAATAGTGATTCTTATAGCGATATCATCCTAAGATCACAGGAATATCATGGCATATTGTCACAACAAAAATAAAATGTCATCGCATGATGGTGGATTTAACCAACAAAAATGCTGGTCCAATTGGATTTTTGATGGTGATATGACCAGCAGTCATGGGGATGACGCTTGAACAAACAACGATTTTGTGGGATATGGGGAAATGATGAACATATACAGAGATGGAGTGGGCCTAATCTGTTTTCATCATTGAATGCTTTACAGTAATCAACAACACATTGGGATTTGAGCATCACGAGAGTGAACCGGATTTTTTCATAGCACTAGTCTAGTGGGACCCACAGAAACGTGGAGGATATTGGGGATATAGTCTAGTGGGATATATCATATATCGTGATTAAACATATTTGGGTTTGGGTCAAAGGGTCAAATCCAAATCTGATAACGCCAAAACATTTTTTTAAAGAAATCGAACAGCAGGCAGTACAATGTTTTAGCACTGATGCTCCAATCCCTATTTTTGACGATCCATATACTTATTTCTGACGGTTAAATCCAAATTCCTGCTGGTTCAATCCTGCACCTGTGGATGGGCCAGCAAAATCCTGCACCAGTTGGTCGATATAGTAAGAGTCCCATTACAATCCCATTGTTTACAGTGTTTCATAAAGCTATACCTCATAGTTACCAACTGGCGCAGGATTTCGCAACCATCCACAGTTTGTTTGGTGAAAAATCACATGCTTTCTCGGTGAAATCATCTCCTTCCCAGCCTGTCGCATGGCGCCCGCCGTGCCACCGCCCACGGCGGTCACGGGGCTGCGGGGACTCTCCAGCGCCGGCGGCGCTTGCTGCAGCTCCAGCTGCTGTTCGCGGGCGCGGCGCTTCTCCTTGGAGGGTGGTTCAGCTAGTTCCTTCCCCTAAAGAAGGTGCCAATCCAAGGGTTGAAATGGTAATGACTAGTGATGGCTGGATGCTTCAGCCCCATTTTTCCTGAAGTCAAGATCCTGCCTGCTGCCCAGCTTCAATGAGTCTATGCACGCGACGCTCCAATGCTTGGCTCCGAAGGGCTTCCCCTGCGGGGCTTCACCAAACATGCAGGAGGGAGTGTATTTGACATTGATCTATAAACTACATGTTTATTTCCTTTACATGTATCCATCAATATCAGTAAATTGTATCAAATGGTATTGGATCCTGCATATATATTGCTATCTGTACGTGGGAATCTTCGGCCAGGCGAGATGCGCACAAGGGAGGTGGTAATCCGATAGCTTCCGCCTGGGATACCCCAAAGTCAGCGGCTTAGTGATCTCAGGCTGTGCAGCTATGCCGCCTATGCCTCTGTGTCTCTACATCTTTCAATCCATCACCCGAGGCTATACTATATATAGTAGCCTCCTTAATAGTCTCTAGCTGCATAGCCGCTACCACCAGCTCTAATCTTCAACACAATTAAATTCCAAATTCTAAATGCAGAAGCAATGTTCATGCTTCCCTGGAGAAGTATCGCACCATGGCATTGACCCGGTAAGTTGCCGCTTGTCTCTTGCTTCAGCAAACACGTCCTCTTGCAGGCCCCCTTTCAATGCATCCCTCGCTTCAAGGAACAAAGCCAGGAAATCTGCGTTTTTCCATCGATGGTCCGGCTGAAGGAGTTCTTAGCGCCGCTCGTTTTCCACACAAAGGTGCGTGCCAAGACATCCACTGCGCAAAACAAGGTCAGAATCAAGAGTCGAGAGCGAATTCAGTCTAAGAGAAATTACACCAGCGAGAGACCCCAAACAGTTTGGGGGGATATAAGACCTATGGAAATACAAGCAAACAGTAGCTACGGAAAAAGTAACAGACCAGGTTAGAGTAACACTGTCAGTATCAGAACTGCAGCGGCAGGAGCTTGCCGTGGCACAAGAATCAACGCTATGCCGCTATGTCTACTCACCAGGACTTCATGGCACGACGATTGAGAAAATCTGGCAAGATCATCATGGAAGGCTTGAAGGACCTTCTATATATTCTAGATTCTAGAGAGGATCTTACCTATATCATCCTATATCTGATATCTGATATCTGCTTACAAGATGCTCATCAAAGCATTGCAGAAGGGCTTTCATACAAGCACCTCTGAAACATAGCATCTTTAAAATTTTCAAGCAAGGACCTCCACAGGATCCTGTCACAAGGACTTGTGCAAGATCATGGGTTTCACTGGTATCTCTACAAGGGATCTGCCAGGACCTCCATAAGAATCTCACAAGATCGTCATGAAAGGACCTGCTGCTAGAGAGGATCTTACGTCACTACTGGATCTTCATACAGGAATCTCTTATTTCACCCGGATCTCCGCAGGACAAGGTCTTTTCACATCGACCTCTGCAAGTTCTCGACTCGATCAAGAACCTCATACGAAGACATCCAAGAGAATCTGATGGGACCAACAGAGAAAAGACCTGCTATAGATAGGAGCTTAGGCTTAGGATGCACAGACACAATACCATCGTCCCCAGCGTGCGGTTCGTCAAGACCTGGTTGACTGTGTGGGCTCAGAGGTTCCTTGTCGGTGCACCCGACACCTCAAATGGGATCATCCGATCATCCACATGCTGTCTTGAAAGGGTTGGCCAAAGGGGCGGGGGCAAATCGATTGTTTTTTTTGCTTCAAGTTCATGCTGGTTGTTTTGAAACACATCAGCCCATATAGCTAGAAAAAACACAAAACATTCACAAACACTCTTCCAAGTTCTGCTTCCATGGGGCATGTTTGTACCAAGTGGCAACCCATTTACAAGGTGATCTGGCCATCTCTTGAATCACTTAGTGGTATCGTAAAGCTGGAAATTCACCTACTTCCTCCATTTTGGCGACAAAACCAACAAAAGCATCAGGCATAATACAATAATTCAACGCCCACACATCCACGCGCAACTTTGGAGACTATAGTGTCTTCTCTGTTTGGTACGCATAAAGCACTGTAGATCCCGTTTTTCAAATCATGAAACAAACCATTTTACCTGACCCCATTGTATTGGCTGCTCAATAGATATTCCCGCGATGAGCTGCAATGATCCACAGCAAGCCAGGTAGTATAACCCCGGGAAAAAAACAATCAACCAGTGGTATCTTCCATGGCTCAGTTTAGAATAATTGATATAATAATCCCATTATGTTCCCATAATATTATACCCACCGTGCTTAACTATGTTTGTTGATTAAATTCCCAAATGGTACTGATCTTCGTTGCTGAAATCAACAATGATTCATCATGTTTCATAATCATAACTAGTTATTATATATATATATATATTTATACAAGTATTAATTATATGTTCAAGTCACGTTGAACATACTTACCCTCAAATAAACTAACATAACTATGGAAAATCACCATTTTTAATGGGAAAATTCACTGTAAATGGCCATTATCAATAGCTGGCCATGTTAGTTTACCGTGCGTAGTTGATATTCTCTTCGAATGTTCCCATGGGATTTTCGGTGAACTCTCCGCCTTCGCTGCTCACCGGGATGAGGGCTGCAGCAGGTGCACCGGCACCCTGCCGACAAAGTACCCTCCACTAGTTGTAGATCGTTTTCCGAAGGAACACACAGTTCTCCACATCTTTTGGTTTGTTTCAATGGATTGCCTTAAGGGAAAATTTACATGAAATCCCCGTATTTAATGGAAAACATTGACAAATCTATGGTTTCCGGTTAAGATTTTCCCTTGAACCAATCCATTGAATGTTTACCCTAGGATATATTATTGGGTTTATCATGATGAACCCAATGTTGTTGTGTAATTGGTATGATATCAATGAGAGCCATTAGATAGTCGAATTTGTAGTACATGAATGGCCTATGAAGATATGGGGTTTTAATCATCAACATAGGAGTTAACACAACCAAGCATAATGATATATTTCTTTAAAAAAGAACAATCGTAATTTCATCAGGATATGGCGATATTTGATGATATTTGTCTATATAGGGAGGGATCAAAAACCAACGTTTTTTTTATCCCCGTTGGGCGTTCAACTTAGGGTGCAGCACCAGGTTTTCATCCCAAACACCTGGACCTAGTTTAAAAACCTGGAGGGCCAAGGTATGAGCAAAAAAAAGTGAAACGATGAAAAGCCGACCTCACCCCGATTTCTGAAAATGAAAAATCAAGGTACACAAGATTAAACTCAGTGCCTCTGGGGTATGTTGAAAATTGAAAATAAAAATGGCACAAGAGATCAAAAAAACCTTAAACTATAAAATCAAAACTTCCACAGAGAATGGTCAACCACATCCTTTTCATCCCACCCAGCTTCCGCTCCCACATCGTATCAATGCCTTGTTGGCATAGCAAATGCCAAAGCTTTCAACGTTGGCATATCAAACAAACAACTTTTTGAGGTAACCACTCTCCATGTTACACCACGCATTTGTGCCAACCCATCCTGAACCAACGCAACAAAGATACACCACAAAACTTCACATCCTTAGGCATTAGATTAGATAAGACTTTCATCTCGCACATCCCTCTTTTGAACTTTGCAGGAGCAGCTCTCCATGTTACACCACGCATTTGTGCCAACCCATCCTGAACATACCGCCCAAAGATACATCACAAAACCTCAGACCGTAAGATTTTCATCTCACACATATGTTTTGAACTTTGCCGGAACAGCTCTCCATGTTACACCACGCATGTGAGCCAACCCATCCTGAACCAACGTCCCAAGACACACTACAAACTTCAGATCCGAAAATGTTCATCTCACACATCCGTGTTTTGAACTTTCCCGGAACAGATGACACCTCGCATGTGTGCCAACCCTGAACCAATGTTCCAAAGATACACCACAAAACCTCAGACCCCAAGATTTTCATCTCACACATCCCTGTTTTGAACTTTGCCGGAGCAGCTCTCCATATTACACCACGCATGTGTGTGCCAACCCATCCTGAACCAAAGTCCCAAGACACACTACGAACTTCAATCCGAAAATTGTCATCTCACACATCCGTGTTTTGAACTTTGCCGGAACAACTCGGAACAGATGACACCTCGCATGTGTGCCAACCCTGAACCAATGTTGCAAAGATACACCACAAAACCTCAGACCCTAAGATTTTCATCTCACACATCTGTTTTGAACTTTGACGGAGCAGCTCTCCATATCACACCACGCATGTGTGCCAACCCATCCTGAACCAACGTCCCAAGACACACTACAAACTTCAATCGGAAAATGCTCATCTCACACATCCCTGTTTTGAACTTTGCCGGAACAGCTCTCCATATCACACCACGCATGTGTGCCAACCCTGAACCAACGTTGCAAAGATACACCACAAAACCTCAGACCCTAAGATTTTCATCTCACACATCCCTGTTTTGAACTTTGCCGGAACAGCTCTCCATGGTTACACCAAGCATGTGAGCCAACCCATCCTGAACCAACGTCCCAAGACACACTACGAACTTCAGATCCGAAAATGTTCATCTCACACATCCGTGTTTTGAACTTTGCCGGAACAACTCGGAACAGATGACACCTCGCATGTGTGCCAACCCTGAACCAACGTTCCAAAGATACACCACAAAACCTCAGACCCTAAGATTTTCATTTCACACATCTGTTTTGAACTTTGCCGGAGCAGCTCTCCATGTTACACCACGCATGTGAGCCAACCCATCCTGAACCAACGTCCCAAGACACACTACAAACTTCAGATCCAAAAATTTGCATCTCACACATCCCTGTTTTGACCTTTCCCGGAACAGATGACACCTCGCATGTGTGCCAACCCTGAACCAATGTTGCAAAGATACACCACAAAACCTGAGACCCCAGGATTTTCATCTCACACATCCCTGTTTTGAACTTTGCCGGAGCAGCTCTCCATATTACACCACGCATGTGTGCCAACCCATCCTGAACCAAAGTCCCAAGACACACTACGAACTTCAATCCGAAAATTGTCATCTTACACATCCCTCTTTTGAACATTGCAGGAGCAGCTCTCCATATCACACCACGCATGTGTGCCAACCCTGAACCAACGTTCCAAAGATACACCACAAAACCTCAGACCCTAAGATTTTCATCTCACACATCCCTGTTTTGAACTTTGCCGGAACAGCTCCCCATTTTACACCACGCATGTGAGCCAACCCGTCCTGAACCAACCTCCCAAGCCACACTACAAACTTCAGATCCGAAAATTTTCATCTCACACATCTGTTTTTTGAACTTTGCCGGAACAACCCGGAACAGATTACACCACGCATGTGCGCCAACACATCCTGAACCAACGTCCCAAAACACACTACAAACTTCAGATCCGATTTTTGTTCATCTCACACATCCCTGTTTTGAACTTTGCCCCAACAGCTTGCCATGTTACACCACGCATGTGAGCCAACCCATCCTGAACCAACGTCCCAAGACACACTACAAACTTCAGATCCGAAAATTTGCATCTCACACATCCGTGTTTTGAACTTTGCCGGAACAACCCGGAACAGATTACACCACGCATGTGCGCCAACCCATCCTGAACCAACGTCCCAAAACACACTACAAACTTCAGATCCGATTTTTTTCATCTCACACATTCCTGTTTTGAACTTTGCCCCAACAGCTTGCCATGTTGCACCACGCATGTGAGCCAACCCATCCTGTACCAACGTCCCAAGATACAACACAAACTACTAATGACTCAATTTTGCAAACCCATCCTCATCCAACCTCCCAAGATACACCTCTCAAAATTTCAATGTTCACCGTATAGGCGGCAAAAAGGTCGAGCCTTGCAAGAAGACACGGTCGAGTGAAAACCTGTGTGCAACCTTCAGGCCAAAAAAGGTTCTCAGTAAGCTTCAGTGGTTTAAACTACCTGCGCCCAACCTATTGCAAAAATGCTCTCAAGACGTGTTCCCTCGGATGAAATCCTTTGGCTTCATGGTTTATTTAAAATCAAAATTCTAAAATATGTAAAAAGGGACCGAAAGATAAAAAGCTGAGGCCTAACATTCTTGGGGCTAAATTTGGCTGAAATGTGGTTAAAAAAATAGGCTCCAGCTCCTGGTTTTCATCCAGGAGCCCCAAACGGGGATGTTTTTTTACAAACAAGTCGAAACTCCAAGCCCGGTTTTTATCACGGAAAACTCGCCTCACTGGCTCTGTGGGTCTGGTGCCCGCAATTTCCGCACATTTTGTTCGTTATCTGCATCCGCTTTTGCGGCTGGTTTTGGCTTTGGTCGTGCACCAGGCGGGGTTGCCTTTGGCATCTTCTTTGCCTGAGAATCTGCAGGAAGCCATGGAACCCAAAAATGATGCGCAGACAAGACAAGGCAGTCATGAGCTGAGCAAGGCACTTCAATGCGAAGCTGTGCTGACCAGCTAACGCGGAAAATGCCTCGTCAATATCTTCATGGCTGTGGCCGGACTGCAGCGTGTTGAACGAACACGCATGCAGCCAGCGACAGCCCACCAATGCAGACAATAGTCTGAAAACGATGTTGTTCTTCAATTCCTTTGATGCGTTGTCTCCATGACAATGGAGACTGCACCGTCTAAAGTCAAGTTCAATAATTTTGTTTGCCTTAATTTTTGGACCAAATTCGAATTCATCGCGGCACCATCGTAGTTGGAAGACTGCGTCCTAGGACCAGATGGAGAGCCCTGGAAGCTAACCCTGGGAATTTCCAACTCACACCTTGATGCCACATCCATTCATCAGATTTTTTTTGTGTTGACCAGGGTAGGGGCTTTGACTCATACCCCTATATCCATAGGTTTGATCGTGTAAACTTGGATAAAGTGGGGATGTGTAAACTTGCATGTTTGAGAAGAGTTTAAGCGATGTGTAATCGTTTGTCGACTTGTCTTATTTTGGCATACGTAAGCTTGCCTGTATTTTGGTTTGTTTTGATTTGGGGATATGTAAATTTACATGAAATGGGGGATATATGACAGGGGCACCCAAAATGGATTTGCAAAGATATATCCCATTGATTCATACCTCACTTGGTGATATACCCTCTGATAATCAACCATGGCAATGGAACATCTACAATTTTTAGTTGTGTAGTTCAAATATACAGTATGCTGGTTGATTGAATATGTACACATATGACATATGTCCTTCAATCCCATCATCTTCCAATATCCTAGCCCATTGTGCTGATTGGTAAACTGGGTGACAACAATATCCAATAAACCAATCAGTAACCCATCAACTGAGTATTCTTAATGGCTCAATTTATTCACCATTTCAACAGAAGGTGGTGCTCCCCCAGTTCAAAACTGGCTTTTGTAACATTCCCAATATAGACATATCATGACATATCTATCATAAACATTCAAAAATCCCGTCTGTTCATTAAACCAAATTAGCGAATATAAACTTCAAATCCACAGTTTTGTTGGTGAAATCCACAGCTGGTTGGTGGTTTTAACCATCTGGAATTAATATTTGTCAGTTGGGATGATTATCCCATATATTATGGAAAATAAAACATGTTCCAAACCACCAACCAGACAATTTCTATAGGCCACATCCAATAAGTTATCCACCGACCGATCGCCTGCAGCTCCCTCGGCAGGCTGGGCGGCACCTGCCGCCCTTGCCGCTGCAGTGTTCGGGGAGAGTCGCGGAGACCCTCCGGCCTGGCGGGGTGAAACTGAAACCGGCAAAAACAGGGTCTACTTGGTGGTTGACCTACCCCTCTGAAAAAATATGAAAGTCCAGTTGGGATAATTATTCCCAATATATGGAAACATAAAATTCATGTTTCAAACCACCAACCGGTGGTGATTGAACTTGATTGATGGACAAATCAAGTCTAATCATCAAACATGAGAAATTAATCATGAAAAGTATTTAAAGCTCAGGAACAGGATTGAACAGGTCGGTTTTAACCAAACAACATTAAACACTGGGTTTAAACCATTGCACATATGTTGTTTTAACTTTTTAACCAGCAAGTAAATATATAATGGATATTGTCGACGCTGACTCACTGGATTTAAGTGGTCTAGCGACAGGGCTTAAACCAGGAAACAGCTGGCTTTAAAAGAAAAAACTGAAAAATCTATCAGCAGCACCAAGCGGTTCAATCATTGGGTCATTTCTTGGGCTATCAACCACTGGTTGGGGCTTCAATCCGATTAAGACACATGTTGGAACTAACTGGTTGGTGGTGCAATAACCATCTTGAAAAATATGAGTTCGTCAATGGGAAGGATTATCCCATATACGAAATGGAAAATAAAACATGTTTGAAACCACCAACCAGAAGAAATATGAACAACATTTTGGAACACACTGTCACGCAATGGATGAAAATTGGCACCATGAATTTAACGGGAGTGAAAATTGTAACATCCAATCTACATCATAGTGCAGAAAAAGATCCATGAACAGTGGCATCATGTCAGTTTTTTGGAAACCTCTCCAATCTGCAAAGAAAACCAGGTTTGTACCATCCAACCTCCTGTTGGGAGAACATCTATGGATCAAAGATCAACATCTGTGAGAGGGACAAAAACTCGATAAGGTTGGCCCCCCTCCAGGTGTAAGTTGGTTGAAAACAACTATAAACTATATAGTTATATCATGTTATATCAGTCATATCTACCACAAAAAACAACAAAACATAGAATTCACCTATATAATAATGCTCACCAACGTACAGTTACAAAAGGGTGCCAGCAACAAGCATGTGAAACCAGCAACTTACAGAAACAACAAATATGGGTTGCTGTAGGATGATGCCTGGCTGAAGATAGGATTATATAGTACCCAGCAGCGCGTGGCACATATAAAAAAATATGTTTGTTCAAGGTCAGAAAAAAGAGGTTACTACACACTATGAGGTTGCTGTCACAGTATGATTGATTGTTGGAGTTACCACATATTGTTCAGATTGATTCTTGCAATATGGAAAAATCTGGAAATTGGAGCGAATATGAATATAACTGAACGCATTGCTGATATTTGTTCACACACGCATATATATATATATATTTATTTATTTATTTCTATGTACGTCTAAATATATATATATACATTAAATACATACTTACATACATGTGTATATAGATATATGTCTATCATTCTTCGACAAACAATGAGACAAAAACAACTAGGAATAAAGCTGGTAGCCCAATCAAAGGTGGAATTTTGCACCATGAAAGAGTCTGAGATATCATATTAGCCACCACTATAGTCTAACTAATACTATGGCAATCTGGTGTTTCTTGCTAGTCAAAGACAATCATCTGTAATGTTCAGGTGAACCAAAATAGATTGCCGGACGGTATCTCCATTAGATAACCCACAAGAAAAACAATATCAGTGGGTCCTTTGCAGTCGCAGTCAAGCTCCCAGAACCAACCTTCGAACTCTGCACCACTCTGTTTCAGGTCGGTGGAGTTGATCAGTTGTGCCCTCACATCTGCCAAGTTTATCCAAATTTGGAGTGACAAAGAGATGTGGCCGTAGTGCCAGCCTGCATGTCCAGTCCAACAAATGTGACTCCGATGTCCCTCCAACTATTTCACATCGCCGCTTTCGTTTCACCAGATTTCACATCGCATCTTGTCCATACTATAAGCCATGCTTGGACGGTCATATACATACATATATATATATATGTATATATATAGTGTATATATACATATAGTATATATATATAGTATATATAGTATATATAGTATATATAGTATATATAATATATATTGTATATATATATATATTAATAGTATATATAGTTTATATAGTATATATAGTATATATAGTGTTATATATATTATATATAGTATTAAATATATTATATATAGTATATATCGTATATATAGTATATATAGTATATATCGTATATATAGTATATGTCGTATATATAGTATATATATAGTATATATCGTATATATAGTATAATATATATATATATATATTATATAGTATATGTCGTAAATATAGTATGTATATATATATATATATGGGAGCACCCTCCCCCATTTTTTGGGCGCCAAAATCAATACATTCAAAACACTCAACCAAGGTCTCTAGTGAAATATGTTCATATTGGGGCTGCAACCTCAACGATGAAACTCTTGGAGTTGCCACCAAATATCAATGGGATGATGGTAGTTGCACCGATATCTTGGGAGTATTTTTTGGGTGTCTTAAACTAGCCCATAAGGCACCCAAAAGACATGCCGGATGAGTTTCCCCATAAACATTGTCATAAACTGGGGCCCCATCTCCTGGTTTTGAACCCAACCGACAAAAATGATCCACCTTATCAGCAAGCGTGAACTGTACATTTAGATCGCATTTCTGAGACATCGATGGAAACATCAATTTGAACGTATTTGAACCATGAATTTGTCACCTCATTTGCAACTGGTAACATAGTTGCTCAGATGGGCTAGGCAGCTGACTAACTGACTACCACCTACCTCGACGGTCCGTCTGTTGAGATTGAAATCATTGACCAACCTCAAATAAGGCTACTTGAGGATGATTCTCCCTAAGAGTACTACGGTTACTACATCTGCATTTGCTAGTGACGTTGTGGTAATTCACCCAGATTGTCCAATTTTTGTCGCCTTAAATCCACCTCTCAACGGACACGATGGCCTCTGGCGACTGCGTGGCGTGGGCCCCGCAGTGACGATGGACTCCTGGAAAACGGAAAATGGATGCGGGGTAAGACCATCGAATGGGCACCTACCCTCTGGTAAACATACAAAAAGCTATTGAACATATTTGAAAATGATGATTTATAGCGGATTTGCCCAGCTAGAAAATGGTGATTTTCCATAGTTATGTGGCTGTTTGCCAAAGGGTAACATGTTTGCCATGCAGTTCATCCATCGGTTTTCGCAATCAACCAGGTGTGCAAACTGTTTGCCTACATGGCATCTAGTTGCCCGCAAATGCACACAGTGTGTGGCCTTCATTTTGCCCAAACTTGGCAGCTTTGGTACTTCGGGGTGTACGCTCGTTTTCCCCGGCCATTTCTGTTTTCATGATTTGAAGCATGGGCAAATCACTTCTACAGGATTTCTTATATCTAAAAATCATTATGCATGCAGATTTTAGTGGTGTACTGTTGTCTTATTCCATCAAAATGACTAACTAATGAAGCATCCACCATGCACCAGTAAGTTTTATCCAGCAGTATTGGCTTATCCGGTGTGAACGGTAATTGTTCTGTGAAGTTCTGTGTAGTTTTCCATTCCTGCCGAAAGTGATAATGAAAGGCGACTATTCGACTGTTCTTTTACAAGGGTAGAAACCGTTTCTTCGAACCAGTATGGCATGTGAATCAGATAGGGATATTGCTGGCGAAGAAATGGCGCTGGTAACCATCATCCTGATGGTTCCTGCTTTATCTTCGGAGTTCAGAACTTCCTCAGGAGTTGTTTGGGACTCTAAACACTTGGTGCAGTGACTAATTATTATGTTCACTTTTGTTCATGCCAAAAATTGGGATTCAATGCCCCATTTCCAGACACCCCACACTGTGATAAGTTGGTTTATTACAGTTATCTCATCATTCCCATCAAGATATCACAACAGTTGTGCGAGTTGTAAACCACCTCAGCTATCATAAATCAGTGTTAGCCTTATTAACTATAAATCAATCTTTCTCTTGGCTAAACCCACCATTTTGATGGGTTCATTCAATCCCCGTTTCTTGTTGGTGAAACCCAGCATTTTCACAGGCGCCTGTGTCGTCCAGTCTTTGCGCTTCGATCGCAGCTGCGCCTGAAAAAGTGCTTGGCGCAGCGACGCTTGGCGCACGGTTTGACAACGGGAAGATTTGGCCAATCAACATGATCAATGGATGGGTTGAAGGGAAATTTTGCCGGAAAAAATTGGTTGAAGGGAAAATCTTAACCGGAAACCATGGATTTGTCCCATGAAATATGGGGGAAATTTCCGGTAAATTTTCCCTTAAACCAATCCATTGACATCATCAACCACAAAATGGATGGGTACCAACTAGCCATTTTCAGGCCAAATGTTGTTGCTTATATATCCCACAAAATAATCCCCATTGCATTCCCATTATACAACTATGTGTTGGTCAAATCTCATGATGCTTGATTGTATGCCTCAATGATATTCATAGTTGGTTATATCACCATGAAGTCGCCATGTTCAGCATAATTCCAATGAAACCCCATTCCATTTCAGTTTGTCTCAGCGTCTGCATGTGCGGCGGCACCACGCCTTGACCTTTCGGCTCCTTTGTGGTGCCTTCCGCACATGACTTCAGTTGGTTCCGCTGTCCGTTGGCCTTGTCCCGTTGGACTTCGGCTTCCCGCGCTTCCGTTGGCCGATAAGCATCGGACCACTATCGGAGAACGATCCGGAAACGAAGCTCCATGGTTCGGTCAAAGATATTGGGTTGTCTCGAGGGTAATTGTTCACAAGAAGTGGGTGGAAAAACCATGGCCTGGATCATCCTGGCGTTATCCTTACGTCCATGTCTCATCATTTCTCTTCGCACCATGATAATCCCATGATATCAAATGAAAATCCCATCAAGTATCCCAGCATGAATGTTTTGTTGCTGAAATCACCATGTTTCAGGGAAAGAACTGGAAAGAACTCCCATCAATCCCATTGCCATTAATCCCATGATATCAAGTTGGTTACTTGGTGATCTACCATTAAATCTCATCAAAATCCCATCCAAAACAACAAAAAAAATTAACCCTTTCAAATCACCAAAAAAAATCTAAAAACCCTAAACAATCCCACTAAACCCGATTAAATCACCATGGAAAATCCCAGTTCTACCCCCCTGATCTCAACCAGATGCACCTCCAGAGCCGCAAGCTGCTCCTGCACCAGAAACGGCTCCAGGTCTTGGATGCCCCGCAACCTCATGGCGGAACTCCGCTGATGCTTTTGATGACTGCGGAATCATGGAATTTTAGAGGAATTTCTGATGATTTATGAGTTGATGCAAGTCAAGTTTATAGTATATAAGTTATTCATAGTTATACTGGTTTGTAACTGGTGATTGTAAAGCTCGAGCATCGAATTAACCGGTTGGTGGGTGGTTTAGCCGCTCGTCATATCAACCAATCATTCCTTTTGTACGGATAAAATACAGTAAATATTTGAAATCCCAACCAGTTATATATCTTTTAATGTGATTTTTTATAGATTTGTATAGTGATTTAATGATTCAATATATGTTTTAATGTGACTTAAAATGACATCATCCTGAAATCATGGGAATTAACCGTGTTATACGGGTTTAGTTGTGCCACGGTCAAAACATCATACATGCACTATGGTCATCCATACAAGAATCGGAATCTGCCGAAAAAACATTCCGCCATCGAGATATAGTCTGCCGCATGCAGCACAGCAGCCAGCAAGAAAGCAGCAATTCAGAAGAAATCAAATGGGGATGGGTCAAAACCTTGTACCCCTTTTGTTCACATCAAAATAGCTGGGATTGATGGATGTTCATCCCCCTCAAAATGGCATTTATAGGTATTGATCCATAGCCAAATCAGAACACTGACTTGCACAGTCAGAGCTGACTGCGAAGTCAGCTGGGAAAATGCACAGCGGCTGTAGCCAAATGTTGTCGATTATGCCATCATGTTTCGAACCCAAAATCAACAATCTTCAGTATTTCCATGAGTGGCAAAATGATGCCTAAATGGTAGGTTGATTATTGGGTTTACCACATGATCAGTCCTGGTCCAGGAAACTCGCACTGCCTGATACAAATCTTCCCAAAACCTCACCATATCTAAATATGGGAACCCAACTCATCATCCCATGGTTTGTCATCACCTTTCCCATGGTTCAAAAAAAATGCCATCAATGGGGGAATCAGAAATAGTTTCATTGGCTTTCCCATGGATTCCCTTTGAAATAATACGAAGTAAGTGATAGTAAGTGTTGCTGTCTGGTTTGTCAAGCAGAAACGTCATGTGAAAGCATCGGCTCTCCAGAAATGCTATGCCACGGAACTCATCGTCCAGAAGTGCCAGCTGTTGCTTGACGAAACGCCTGAGCGTTTCGGATGTTTCGTTTCGTTGGATGATTCTTGGCATCCACGTCAACCCTGCAACGTTTTTTTGGTGGGTATAATTCAAAATGATTAAGTCATACAAAGCCCTCAAAATCAATGGTTTGTTACTAAACGTACGTCTGGTTGGTGGTTTCAACCCCTCTGAAAAATATTAATCAGTTGGGATGATTATTTCCATATATGGAAAAATAAAAATGTTCCAAACCACCAACCAGATGTGATCAATTCTGATCAAATCTACGGCACTGCACCCAGTTTGCTTTGATTGTCGTGGATTTCCACCTGAGATTTGACCGGCGAAATGTTGGGGGACCATCCTACACATGAAGATGCTGACCAGCAAAGGTGAAGAACTAACGAGCCACGAGTTGTTTTGTTTCTCAACAAACGTTGGATTGAATCAATCATTGCCATTTCAACGCAAAAACAAAAAACAACCAATTTGGCCATCCAAACAGGTGGCTGTTGTCCACAAACAATGGATTTGAACACCCACACATAGATTTGTCAAGCCAGGAAAGATGACTGCGACCATTGAAAAGAGTGGTACTGAGCAGCAAACATGGGGATCTGACAGTAGCTATCAACCAACATGTACCAGTTTCTGCGGGGTTTCTTCTCTATCACTTGAGTTATGTCCGAAAACCGGGCATCCCAAAATTTCATGGGATTTTTTTTACCCTCTGGTAAACTAACATAGCTTTTGAAAATGGCCAAAGAAATATTGGATTTACCCATCAAACACGGTGATTTTCCATAGTTATAGTTTTTTGTTAGTTTACCAGAGGGTACCTCATCTTCCCATATGTTCCCCATGAACATGGCCATAATGTTCCCACCATTGCTTCGAGGCGCTCGAAGGGATCATCTTGCTCCAAGACGTTGAACCTGAACGCAGACTGCGCCGCAGGGTCCTGAAGCCAGGGACCTGGGAATTTTCCAAGGGGATCCCAGAAGTGTATAGTTGTGCTCTTCCAGTTCTTTGGGCAGGGAATTCCATTGAAAATTCCATTTTTCCAGGTGCCTGTCGCGAAGATGTCAGGCTGTTGTTGTTTTACCTTCATTTCATCCATCTGGGGATTGATCTGGTAAAATTGCCTGGGGAGTGGATCCCAACACTATCCAGCTCGGGAATTGGCTGGAAAATGTTTCAAGAAGTATAGACATATATAATTAGCTGGGTACATTATGACATTATGACATTCAAGAAGTATAGATGTAATGTACATATATATATATAGATTAATATCACCAATTTTAGCCACTTACCTCCCAAACCACGGTTAGACATCAAAAGAGTTGGTAGTTCTGGATGTTCCTCCCCAGGGTGAGTGGTGTCATATCCCTAGGTATGTCACATAGCTGGATTGTACATATGTCAGTTTCAATTGTGACCAGCTGGGGGCTGGGAAATGATCTTTCAAGGGGTAAAGGATGGTAAAGGATTGATTGTTTTGTTTGTTTTTCTTGGAACCTAAACAAGACCCTAAAGAAAATAACAACATCTGATTCAGATCTAGTTCTTTGACATTCTTTGACTGCCTGGTATACCCTTTCTACTCTCCTGGCTTTGCCCTTCGAAGTATGCAAGTTGCCCTCCAAATGCTGGTTTCAGTACCATCAAAACAGATGGAAGGGCGTCCACTTTGAGTTCGGTTGATGAAAGCATCATCTACACTCGGGGTCATTTGATCTACGGGTGGCTAGCTTGGTCCAAGCGCGGCATAGCGCGGCCATATGGCCCTTGCAACAGGGTTTTCCTGATGTGCCCATAAATTGGGTTTTTTCACAAGTTCACATTCCCAAAAGCAGCATCTTAGATCCATCTATAGACGATTCTACTATTGAAGAATCATGCCCTGCTTCATTGCCAGCTTTGGTGACCAACCTGTCAGGGCGGTTTCCAAAAACATGCCTCATAAAAAAATACTGGGCTTAGTCGGGCAATTGAGGTCACTATGGGGTGCAGTTAGTTCAGCCAAAATATCCCAAATTCCCCTCTTGTAAATTAGCATCATTATGGAAAATCACCATGTTCACCATTTTTAATAGGTAAATCAACTATTTCTATGGCCATTTTCAATAGCAAACTGTTAGTTTACCAGAGGATATCCAACATTATGGATGAGTTATGTCCCAACTCCTGGGGATTAACCATGCTGTACTGGTCATAGCGCCATACCGACACCTGGAGGCCCAAATGCCACGGGATCCCATCTCCTCTTGGGGCAGTGGGGACATCCGGCCAGCCGTTTGCAAGGCCTCCAACAGCAGAAGGTTGACCCTTACAACCAGGTATCTTGGTGATTTCTTGCTCTGCCAACAGTTTAACTGTTGGGGTATCGTTTTTTTTTTAAATCTCCATGCCACTGCAAAACACAAAATCTTTGGGTTGGTACAGTATAACTTCCAGCTATAGCCATTTGCATGCGGAGAATGAGGCTTTAAGTCATGGCACCAGGCTTTCCAAGTTGGAGACGCCTCTGGATCCGAAATGAGGGTGAATAGGCTTGTGACACGGCTTACAGGCAACTTCTATAAAACGATAGAAAAATAAATTGAACTAAAAAAAACGAAAACCAATCCAAAAAAAAGCAAAACCCAATCCAAACCTCAATTAGAAAAAAACAAAAAAAATCCAAAAAAAACAAACTCCAATCCAAACCTCAATTAGAAAAAAACAAAAAAAAGCAAAGAAAAAGCAAAAAAAAGCAAAACCAAAAGCAAAAAAAACAAACAAAAAACAAACTATTTGCGTTCACTGTTTTTCGTTTCTTTTTCGGTTTTTTTTCGTTTTTTTCCGTTTTTTTTCCGTTTTTTTTCCGTTTTTTTTCGTTTTTTTTTCGTTTTTTTTTCGTTTTTTTCCACGAGTTTCTTACATTTTCGAAGGTCCGGGTCATCAGGTCACCTGAGAAAGAAAAAACACGAAAAAAATGCGAAAACAAAGGCGGACAAAAAAAAACAAAAACAAAGCAAAAAAAAAACAAAAACAAAGCAAAAAAAAAGCGAAAAACAAGTGAAAACAAATAGTTTGCTTTTGGTTTTGTTTTTTTTGTTTTTTCTTTGTTTTTTTTTGTTTTTTTCTAATTGAGGTTTGGATTGGAGTTTTTTTTTTTGCATTTTTTTTGCTTCTTTCTAATTGAGGTTTGGATTGGGTTTTCCTTTTTTTTGGATTGGTTTTCGTTTTTTTATGTGTTTAAAATTCTTTAGAAGTAGGCTGAAGGCATTTCACAAGAATAGGCTTGACCACATGCTGGAGATCTTTGAAAGACCGCCAGAAAATAGTGCCAAAAAAAATTGGGCTATGTTTGAATCGATATCATGGTGCAGTTTCATTGCTAAGTCATATCGACTACAAATTTTGACTTGTCCAAATTCCTTCAATGTTATGTCCGAATCTTTATAGTTTAGCATTGATGTGTTTTTTTGTTTGTCATAGGTTTAATTCGTTCAGTTGAAACTGGACCGATTTGTCAGGAATTCTGCGGTCTCCTAGTTTAGGAACACCAAATATTGTCATTGTATTCCCAATTCCCACTATTTTTTTTCCACAATCATCGCCATCTCCAATTGTTCCATATGATTATCGTTACTGGATCATACGGGATCCCATTGTATCATATGAAGCATTATCCCCTGTATCTAATGCTGAAAAATTGGCATCCATTTAGTAGGGAAAATCATGATGAAGCACCTTTTCATAGCTATATCATGCTATATCCTACAAGGATTTGCTCAAGAGACCAAATGCAGAATCCCCAAGTAGTGGATGTCCCATAAGCAAAACATAATCTTCAGCAAATCACATAATCAGTATTCACCACTAATGACAATCAACCATAATTAAACGCTATATTGATCAATACTGATTAATAATGACTAATACTGATTAAAACTGATTAATACTGTAATACTATGGCTTTTTAAAACTATAATTGACCACTATGAATCAGTTCAATCACTACTATGAACCCCCCAAATCACTATGAATCACTATTAGAATCGCTATTTAACCTAATCTCGAATTGATTATCACTATAAATTATCTCTATTAGAATCACTATTAATCATTGTTTAACCGCTATTAATTGTTTCTAATTAGAACCAGAAATCTCCGCCTCAGGCGATGCCGAAGCTTTGGCCGCAGGCTTGGCCGCAGGCTTGGCGGCCGTCTTCGCGGCGGACTTGGCGCCTTTCGTGGCCAGTTCGCTGGCTAATCAGCACACCCATGGCAATGGTGCTGGTACTAAAAATGCTAGCATCAATGGGGCTTTTGTTGATAGGATCCATGGCACACCATATATAGCAGCACCATGGATCCTATGGGTATGTGTATATAAACGTAAGAAAACCTTTACTCTGCTCGTTAATTTTCACATCTCCTTGATGGCCAAAATCCTACTAAGTGCCATGGTCAAAAGTTGGATCACAGGGGACGCTATCAATCCGTGAATAGCGGGTTAAGTTATCCATCAGAAGGAGTTCCTAGTAACTAGTAATGGTGAAATGACCATTATCATACTAGATATCCCCCTTATTCCTTATGTCACACTAGATGTCCATTGTATTACATCAAATTAGCACTTCTGTTGGTTGCCCCCTAGTAATCAAACAATATCAAACCATGGCAATCAAAAATCCTACGTTCATAGATGAATTTTCCTAGCTATATGGGGGTTTCTTAAAATGGAGGATCCCCCCAAAAAAAACGGATAGTTTGCATTGGACAATCCTATCAAAATGGATCATTTAGGGGTGCCCCCGTTTTATGGAAAATCCATATGCCCTCTGGTAAACGTTTACGTAGCTGTTGAAAATCACAATTTTTAGTGGATAAATCCACTATAAATGACCATGTTCAATAGCTATGTTAGTTTACCTTCGGATCGTTGATAACTGCTTTGACTGCCTCGACCGCATGCTTCCCCCAACACCACAAGGGCGGCTTGTCGCCACTCGTTTCGGCATGGATAGGATACTCGCTCGGGGTCAGCACTGCAACTACAAGGTCCCCTGCATGAGCAATGAACTGCGTTGCCAATTGCTGTCTGTGGTTGCGCTGTATCGACCTTGCCAGACTCCAAATGGTGCCCCTGGAATTCAGGGCGTACACTGCGTACACCGTTGATGCTCCTGCAGATCGAACATAGACAAAATGTTGTGCTGACGCCACTAGTGGCACTGGGTCGACGGCGTCTTGTACATGAGGCACGCGCGGCGAAAGGTATGAGTGGAGCTCAACTTCCCAGTGCCGCAAAGTCGCGGCGCTTGCGAGGCATTGAGGAGCTACAATGGTCTCTGCGTGCTGAAGGTTGGGCCTTTCCCCTGTGATAAGTAGATGTCCTACGACCTCCCCTCTGTCCTCATCGCACCTGCCAGCAATGTGAATTGCAAGAGCAGAATGGCCCAACGGCATGTTCTGTTCTGTCATAAGATCTTCATTGGATTCCATTTGTTTGATCACTATATGAAACCGAAACAAGCATTTGTTCAAAACTTCATGAAACTTCCATTTCCAGGGGATTTCCCAGCCACACCTGGACTGGCTGCCGCACCAGCAGCACCCTGGGGCAAGCGCCCCGCCACGCCGGCCATGGCATGCTGACGTAGGGTGACAAGGGACCATGCGATGACCGGGGTTGGTGGTGGGCTGAGTTTTGGACGAGATTCAGACACTTTAAATACGGTTTAAACATGTTGAAAATATGGAGTCACCCGACAAGGGGTGACTTATGATTAACAATTACCTTGCTGAGATGACTTAAGTCCGGATCATAGGGAGACCATGGACAACACTTCTTTTCATGGCGCCGCGAATCGTGTCTTGAGCGACTCAACACCACCTCCAAGCGCTTTTTTTCGTCCCATCCGCAGTGGCGCAATTTGTTCAAGCTCAAACAGCTGCACCAAAAACACATCATCCATGGGGAAGAGGATTTCCATCTGAGATTGGTACAACATGACTTCAAATTTGGATGAAATTGGATGGGTAGCTACACATGCAACTACTGACAATACCTAACTTTGGAGCTATATACAACCACAAGAGAAACATCTACTCCAGCTGGGTGCCGCATGGAACCCGTTCCATCTCCAACGATTTGACACAGCTCCCCCTATTCCAGGCTCCAACGTTTAGTTAAACACTGTGACCATCTTGGCCGACGCCCTTGAAACATACTGCAATCATGAGTAGGCCTCTTGTATCCTCTTGTAATTTAACATTGCAATGAAAGTTCTGGTCCTTTTATCAACCTTCCAATTGGTAAATACGAGTCAATCAAACATGGTTTGCTGGAAAGTTATCATTTATGAATGATGATTATCCCATATATCATGTATGTATATATAATTAAACATATTTATATAGATAGAGGGGTCCATTTACTTCAGGGATTTCCCAACTAGTCATGTTTGATGACTCTGGAGGGTAGCCAATGCCCTCGTTTTTGCTGGAATGCACAGGTTGGTCAGTTAGCCAATACCCTGCAACGTCATTCTATGAAGTACTGGTTGATGAATTGGGACCATGGAGTACCATTATTTGGATAATGGGAACTGATGAAAAACGATGAGAAATGCAAAATGGAGGTGGGTCAAAACCTATTACTATCAGTTTTAGTGGGATGAACATCTATTTACCAGTTATTTTGAGGTTCACTAGGTACAACCCAGTTTCAGGGTTTTGACCTAGAACCAAGACAAAAACAGTACAACTTTGGGACTATATAATCATCAACTGGGGTAGATCGCAGCCACTGCTCCTTTCTTCAGCTGATAAACTTTGTAATTCCTGGGGTCATTCGATGTTTGTTGCACCATTTGAAATCTAAGATTCCGTCCATTGATGACACGTTTACCTTCATATTTGAAATTGCAATAATAGTATATCAAACAAGGATGGTTTGAAAGGAAACTTGATGGATTGAATATGGCATGGGTGTACATGTATCCGTCAATACACCCACAAACAATCTGGGGGCACAGCCTGGTATCCCATGGCCGAATTTCATTTCAATCCATGTGCGCTTTGTGCTTTAATAAAATCCTGCACCTACCAGCCCCACCTCGAGGTTTTTTTTTGCACACCGGAGCATAATCAAAACTCAACGCATGCTGCCGTGAGGGACGCCGCGAGTCCTTTGGCACGTGGGTTTTCTGAGCGCAAGGGTTTCCTTACGCGAAGGCAACACAGCCTGCAGCATGACGCATGAATCTATTGAATCTATTGGCTGATAGGATGATGAACCTTTTCCAGCCAAACACCGGAAGTATCCGTTTGGTGGTGTGGTTTCTTAACACCCCACAACAAACAAGTCTGTTGGAATCGGAGGGTTTAGGGTTGCAAAGGCCATCCAACACTGGTGACATTGGAGTCCAAATGACTGGATGTTTGATGATGACATCTGCCACCCAATTCCCTTTTGCCACAAAGACGATATTGAAATGATTTGGCATTACCACATTGACATTGATTAATGGCATACAACGGCATTTCCCCTCCAAAATTGCGTTCAACATCATTCAACGTCTCGTTTTGAAACCGCTGTAATTTAAACCAAACTAAGTCCCAGCAGGACACAGTTGGCACTGCAGCAATTCCGAGCTGCAGTTGCTGCGTCACATGATCTAATAGCAATTGTGAAATGGCGATTGCAGGCTACCCGAGCTGGCAGCAAGTTTGATGGTCCGGCTGCGCTGGAAACAGTGATTTGGGTGGGTTGGATCTGTAAACATTTGTAAGCCATTGGTTTTATTTCAATCCCAGTGCGTGGTAAGGGCAACCGTGGGTTGGTACACAAGTTGGATGAAATCGATGGTTCACCCAACTGAAGCATTTGGTTTTCAATCAGGGTTTCTTACAATCCACCAATCATTAAGTGATTCACGCAAAATTTTGTAGATATTTCGTGGTTTGGGGCCAGCTAGTTTAGAATCTCAACAACCAGACACCAAACACATTGGTTTGCCACAATATAGGGTACCCCAAAATCCACTGCAAATCATCATTGTCCTTGTTAAACATATTCTTTGGGGCGGGTGTGCTAACCATGCTTAATCACACCCAAACATCTAACACTGCTGATTGTATATCCTATTGTGTTCTCGAATAGAGTTGACAATGGAACGGTTAAAGATGCTTCCCTGCAGCAGCAGGCAGCCATCCTTTTTCCTTAGCCGATGATGGTGCCTGTGCGGCTGGTGCGTTTTGATCTGGTTCACATATGTCCACCACTGACTGACGGAGCTGGGATGAGATGGGTGGACGGGATCCATTCACTAATCCTTCAAAGTCTATGGTGACAGGTGGGTCACGCAAAAGCTGCCCTTGGCAACCATAACCTGTGGTTGCCAGAGGCTAACCCGGATAATGGAGCCAGGGCAATACGCCTGGACAAAAGGACTCACTCTCTGGAGCCGCAGTCGCGGGGCTCCTTTGTAGAAAGGACCTTGGGTGACGAAGATGATGATCATCAAAAGCCTCATGTTTTCCTGCGCTTCTTGGCAGCAGGCTCAGAGGTCTCACGCATTTTTTTCCACAGAAAGGAAAAAATGTGGAAAGGAAGCGTCTACTTCTATTTGCCTCTCAGAGTTGAAGCGCTGCGGATTGGGATGGGTCAGCTCATCAACCCATTGGTCACATTGGTTGTAGTCTCGCTTCAGGTGGAATAGTGCCAAGGGCATGCCGCGCTCATGAAGAAGAAGCAGGAGCTGCATGAGAAAAGCTGCAGTGGGCATTCCACGGGTGTTGGCATTCTACGGGTTGTCAGCGTTGATTCTCGTTCTCCTGAGGTCGGCACCACCCTTCGTGCCAAGCAGATCAACCAGGATCAGTGTTCCCAACATCTCAAGGGCTGCTATTCTTGGGGTTGGGTCACCTTCCTTGAAGGCCCACTAGTGTTTGGAGGGTTCCACTAAGCGAGAAAGTGTAACAAAAGGGAAAAATGATCTTTCAAATCTGTGTCTCTAGAGAGACCAAGCTTGAGCCAAAATGGCAGGGCCATTTTGGCAACTATGTCAACAACACATTGCTTGCTCTCCACAAGCTCCGAGCAAAGAACAAGAAATCCCATCCAACTCCATTTTGTTGGTGAAATTCCTAAATTTGTTGATGAACTTCTTGATAAACCTAGCAAATCACGCACAGAGTTTGCAGACCACCACTCCCCATATCTCGCGACAGTCATCTCACACGGCGGCCCTGGCTCCTGACCTGGGCTTGGAAGGCCCCGGAAGGCAGGGTCTTTTTTTGGC